CTTCTTCTTCTTCTTCTTCTTCTTCTTCTTCTTCTTCTTCTTCTTCTTCTTCTTCTTCTTCTTCTTCTTCTTCTTCTTCTTCTTCTTCTTCTTCTTCTTCTTCTTCTTCTTTTCTTCTTCTTCTTCTTCTTCTTCTTCTTCTTCTTCTTATACATGCACTTATACATACTCACACATAATACATCATTATACATATTCTTACATGCACTCATGCTCATACAGACACATACAACACCCACACTCATGCGTACACACACACACACATACACACACACACACACATGCACAGTCACCTTTATACAAACATGCACTATTACATAGACAAGTACACATCCACACACACACACACACACACACACACACACACACACACACTCACACACACACGTGCATCCATTCACACATGCAGAAGCCAGTTTACAGCCAGTGAAGGGTTAGAGTGTGCATGCGAGTGGTTACAGGTGATGGACTGAATCTCATCCATGATTTTACAGGATATATATAACCAACCAGTAAATCAATCAATCAAACTAACAACCATTTAATCTTTCAACAAATGAACCAAGAAAAAAAAAACACTAAGGGTAAACCCCGTTCAACTACCAACTAAACAACAACAAACCGACAAACGCAAACATCGTAACAAGACTGCAGTAAGTGCCCCCCTAAATGCCGATTTCTCCCCATATGGTCTCCGTGGCCCCATTGTGGGAAAAACGAGAATAGATCCACTGTCTACCCTAAAGCATTTCACAAGAGTCGACTAATTGGAAAGTTTTCTTTGAAGTCGAAGTGCATCTGCCTTGAGAGGCAAGGAACCAACAGTCTGCATTCAAGTAAATCAGATCTGTGAAACTGATGCACACACGACACTCAGATTCTGGAGCAGAACTGCAGTTCAGAAGTGAACGAACGACCAGAACTTTCCGCCAGAGTGTACAGCTGGTGAACGCGAAGAAGAAGTGAAAGAATGTCGAATTCTTACAGAGAACAGGACACGATTACTGCAACGTCTGACGACAGAAACTCTTTATATGGAACACAAAAAACGGCTCGCCGGTGAATAATAACTACAGGCATTGGTCCAGATAGCGGGGACCCAAGTTCGACCAGGTCTGTTACAATAACATGAAACAACTGAACTAGTTGTTTGACCTTTGCACTAGTTAGCGTATTGTACGAGAAAGGAACTAGTTTTGTAAAAACTGAGTGTGAAAAGACAAGAGCTGTCAGAGTACGTGAAGTAATAAGTAAAGGATCTTTTTCCACGCCTTTAGGCGTATAGGGCATATAGGGCTAGACCTAATTTTTACAGACCGATCGGCAGAAGATGGGTGATGTGGTCAGCATCACGCCGGCCGTCTCTACTTTCCCGGGACTGCACCCGGTACCAACTCAAAATGGGTTGACCTGGGAGCAAAGTTCATTTTTGAAAAAAGTCCGGCTCCGCCAGGGAGCGAACCCACGACCTTCCGATCCTCAGTCGAGCGTCTAGGGTCTGAGTGTTTATAATTTAGTCGCGTAACCTTAACAGGAACGCTCCCCCGTGTGGATTCCGGGGCCCCATTGTGGGGAAAACAAGAATAGACCCACTGCCTCCCCAAAAGCATGTCGTAAGAGTCGACTAATTGGGGAGCTTCCTTTGAAGTCGGAGTGCATCTGCCGGAGAGACAAGGAACCAACAGTCTGTATTCAAGAGAATGAGATCTGTAAAACTGATGCACACGCAACACTCAGGTTCTGGAGCAGGACTGCAGTTCAGTAGTGGACGAGCAACCAGAACTTTCCCCCAAAGTGTACAGCTGGTGAACGTGAAGAAGAAGAAGAAGATAACAGGAACGCTGCAGATCCAGCTCTGGAATTGGGTGGCTTTTCGTGATTTTAACACAATCCTTGACCGCTAGGGTCATGGGCGGTGTACCGATGAAATAACTAGCACACACAACCCGCCATATTTTTCTTGTCTTCCGCTCGTTGAACAAGTGATATTAATAATTTAGTTCTGTCCATTTCCTAATGTCGTAATTTCAACTTATACGATCGAAACCCACTGCTGGCTGCGGGTATTTTTATCACGATATGGGGCTTCGCAGGTCGATCCAGCCTTGAACGGGTACCAGGTGGGGTCCTTAGAAGTAAAGGCATCCGGCGTGATGCTGACCACATCACCCAAAAAGTGCCGATTGGTGTATAAAATATAGGTCTAGCCCTATATGCCCAATTGGACTGAATGCCTAGGATAGGGTCCCTTACTATACTTACTTACATTCCCGCAATGAGAGTCCAAAGCTCACGTCCGTATAAGAAGATAGACAATACCAGTGATTTGTGTATGTTAACCAAAACGTGTAAGTGATTTGTGTATGTTAACCTTTGCGTTGAAGTGATTTGTGTATGTTAACCTTTGCGTTCAAGTGATTTGTGTATGTTAACCTTTGCGTTCAAGAGATTTGTGTATGTTAACCTATGCGTTCAAGTGATTTGTGTATGTTAATCTATGCGTTCAAGAGATTTGTGTATGTTAACTTATGCGTTTAAGTGATTTGTGTATGTTAACCTTTGCGTTCAAGAGATTTGTGTATGTTAATCTATGCGTTCAAGTGATTTCTGTATGTTAACTTATGCGTTTAAGTGATTTGTGTATGTTAACCTAAGCGTTCAAGTGATTTGTGTATGTTAACCTATGCGTTCAAGTGATTTGTGTATGTTAACCTATGCGTTCAAGTGATTTGTGTATGTTAACCTATGCGTTCAAGTGATTTCTGTATGTTAACTTATGCGTTTAAGTGATTTGTGTATGTTAATCTATGCGTTCAAGTGATTTGTGTATGTTAATCTATGCGTTCAAGTGAATTGTGTATGCTAACCTATGCGTTCAAGTGATTTGTGTATGTTAACTTATGCGTTTAAGTGATTTGTGTATGTTAACCTTTACGTTCAAGTGATTGGTGTATGTTAACCTATACGTTCAAGTGATTTGTGTATGTTAATCTATGCGTTCAAGTAATTTGAGTATGTTAATCTATACGTTCAAGTGATTTGTGTATGTTAATCTATGCGTTCAAGTGATTTGAGTATGTTAATCTATACGTTCAAGTGATTTGAGTATGTTAATCTATGCGTTCAAGTGATTTGAGTATGTTAATCTATACGTTCAAGTGATTTGTGAATGTTAATCTATACGTTCAAGTGATTGGTGTATGTTAACCTATACGTTCAAGTGATTTGTGTATGTTAATCTATGCGTTCAAGTAATTTGAGTATGTTAATCTATATGTTCAAGTGATTTGTGTATGTTAATCTATGCGTTCAAGTGATTTGAGTATGTTAATCTATACGTTCAAGTGATTTGAGTATGTTAATCTATGCTTTCAAGTGATTTGAGTATGTTAATCTATACGTTCAAGTAATTTGAGTATGTTAATCTATATGTTCAAGTGATTTGTGTATGTTAATCTATGCGTTCAAGTGATTTGAGTATGTTAATCTATACGTTCAAGTGATTTGAGTATGTTAATCTATGCGTTCAAGTGATTTGAGTATGTTAATCTATACGTTCAAGTGATTTGAGTATGTTAATCTATAAGTTCAAGTGACTTGTGTATGTTAACCTATGCGTTCAAGTGATTTGTGTATGTTAATACGTTCAGTAGTTTGCCATTGCCTGTAAACGGTCTGGCCTCGATACCATTGTCTAAAACAAGGCAAGGTGGTCTGTTGTGAAATCGCTTGTAGATGGAATTATAATAAAATATCTCGGTACTACAATCGCGTTTGCAACACGTATGCTTAAGGCATTACAATGATCTTAGACTATGACATCTCATAATGTCTTCACATATAACTACAAGTGCTTGATCTGTTTTCTGTCATCGACGACCGGGTCGGTAGACGACTTCGTCGCCGGTCGGGATATTTTTTTGGTCTGTCTCCTTTGATGGCTTTAACACTGGAAAAATCTTCTCTTTTTCATGGCTCTTGGTGAAGTGAAATCTCCTTCTTCTGCGTTCATCTGAAGATGTAATTGCGTTGTGTCTGTTTACAGCATGGCTGCGATATTTGCACCTTTCGGCCAACACATCCGACTTCTGCGGGAATTTGTTGACCGGGTTAGCCTCCCAGGTGGTGAAGTGAAATGCAAATACTCATTTTGTATGGCGCACATAATCTAGTCACAATTATAACCTAAAGCTCCCCTTTCGGAAATGCTGGTTGAACGTGCCGATTTTTCCCCTAGCAAAGCACCTTCCTACCTGTTTTCTATCTTTCCCAGAGTTTATAAAAACAGGATATGTGGCGTTTTCTTGAACTACAGACAGAGCGGCTGAGACATGTCGAAAAAACGGGACGTTTGTTCGTTTTACCGATTCCCTGAATTCACCAAAAGCCTTGATGGCGATACCTAGTATGAACGAACTAGAGACAGTTAGTTTAGGTTAGTAACGTATCCTTTACAGGACGTTGCAGAACCAACCACAGCAGCCCCTGGCTGTTGTGTGGTGTTTCTAGGCAAATTTACGTCCAGTCGTTTGCCAGTGATTACTGGACGGTCGGCTTTCTTGATACCACCGTCGAAACCAACGCAAGGCGCATGGCCCGCAGCTGGGATCGAACCCGGCATCCCGGCACTACGAAGCGTTCGCATCGACTTAGCCACAGAGCCGACTTTAGAGACAAACAGAGAAAGATAATGCCGGAGAGTTTCAGCTGATGGCAAATTTCTGCAACTATTGTGCAACCTATGGTTCCCCCATGTCGGTTACGCCCATGAACGCCTATTTCCAGAACCTATCGTCAGCAGTCAGTTGAGGACAACGTATCGGCGCTAACCACCACAAACCGGCACGTGGCCACTACTTCATTAACCAATGGATTCATTAGAAAGCTCTAGCCTTGACCGTACGAGGGCGTAGGTAAACCTCCAATCTGGGATATAAAAGTTAAAACTTCCAGTTATCAACCAAGCTTTTTATTTCTCCCCCGCTGGAGACTGCGGAACAATGAAGACCACATGCCTGGTCTCTTTGGCGCTTTTAGCCGTTGCTAATGCTGGTACATTTCGTCTTTATATTCGTTCTCATTGTCGTCTTATTTTTGTTTCGCCATTAACAAAAGTATTAAATGTTAGTTGTGTATCCATTACTGGACCTTGTGGAACAAAACGCAGTATATTTTTGTGTCAGCTGTTTAACTAGGGAATTTTACATTTGGTAGTTTGCCATTTCTCCCTTACGGTGGGAACTCTATATCATTGTCGAAATCAACGCATTGCGGTCTGTTGTCAAATAGCCTGCAGCTAAATCGTGCCGGGTGTTTGGGTGTTTCGCGCGTTAGCGAGGCCTACGTTACCTCTGCTGACAACAAAAGGTAGATATGAAAGTGAATATTAAGATTTGCGAAGGAATCAAGTTGTTGACATCGCACTCTGAGCATTGTAACGTGGTTTTCAGCCTCGTTTTGTTGAGGTATTTCGATTCCTGTGAATCGTCATTGGAGTTGGAGATCCCCGTGTGAGTTTCTGGGACCATTGTTTAAAAAAGGGAGTGTTGTGGGGAGGGTGGGGGGGGGGGAGAATACACCCACTGCCTTCCTAACGAGAATGTTGTAGTAGTCGACTAATCATAGGTTTTCTTCATAGTCGGAGGGCATCTGCCTGAGAGGCAAGGAACCAACAGTCTAATAAATAAAAAAGATCTGTAAAACGGATGTGCACGTGAAACTCACTTTCCGAAATACGACTGAAGTCCAGAAGTAGACGAACATCCAGAACTTTCCGCCGGAGTTTACAACTGGTGAACGCGAAGAAAGTCATTTTATTCTCCCTTTGGGCAGGCAACTGTCTGTGCAGTAAAGTTACTCTCACTTCTATACTGTAATTGTTTCTTGTGTGACATGTCAACAGTGAACGCCCCAACCACATCTCTCCCATTCCCGTTAGTTGGGTTGTAAGTCAGTGGTTTATTCGAGGACACAGGCACACTGCAGACACGTCCAGGACGTGTGTGATTAGTAGTACCGTGGACAAGAATGAGGTTTCTTGTAACAGCAATTGATACAATGCAACGAACTTTCATTATGGACGGGGCACTACATACTGCCTCCGTGTGATCGATGGATTGTGGCTTTTTCTTTCGTAAAGCTCACGTGTAACTTATGTAGACTGAGAACTGTGTAATAAATGCGCTTTCACAACAGAAAATGTCTGAGATGTGAATGGTATTCTAGTCCAATCATGAAATCGAGGCCAACTCCAAAAATCTGTAACTTAGTATTCGTTCGTTGTAAATTGATGAAATTTGACATGGAGCCTGCTAATAATCATGTCTGTGCAACTGTAAATTTTAATCTCACAATGACATAGTCAATCTAAGGTCACATGCAAACACTCGAGTTGAACCGTATAAGACTTTTCTAGATATTTGTTAAAAAGTGTAAGGGCCTCGATTTTTGAAATGAACCTTAGTAATGTTATTTCTCTGTCGGTACTTACGCTTTGACACCCCCCCCCCCCCCCACCTTTAGTTTGGTTGTAAATCATTGATTTATTCAAGGAGACACGCAGTCTGCAGTCACTACTAGGACGTGTACGTGTAGTTTTAGTTGATATTCCTCGGGTGTGTTCAGTTGGAGTAAAGATCGGTTTTCACTGAAACTGTTTATAATCATAGACCTTTTTTCCAGTGTTGTATTTAGGTATAAGCTAAATAGGCTATAGATTAGGGCTTCACAATCAGCAGGGCCTTTAAAAAATGCCTTTTTTTTTTTACCAATGCAATATTATTTTAATATGCTTTGAATGCAATGTTCTCTTTATATATCCCATCTCCCGACAATTTTCGGATTTGATTATAATTATAAATTTGGGTAAATCATATCAGGCTTTTATTTATAATAACTTGCTGTAGTTTATTAAAATTATTGGATTGCTATAAGTCATAATCAGTGAACAATGCCTTTGAGAAATCAAGATCAATGTTTTTAGTAACTTAAGTCCTTTAGAGCGATGGTTCTCAACCTGCCTTTAATACAGTTCCTCATGTTGTGGCGACCCACAAGCAATTATCTTCCTTCAAAACTTCAATGAATTTGTGTTTTTCTATGGTCTTAGACGACCCCTGAGAAATCTGTAAATATACACATAGATAGATAGGGTTAGTTGCGTATTCTTTACAGGACGTTGCAGAACCAACCCCCAACAGTCCCTGGCTGTTGTGTGGTTTTTCTAGGCAAATGTACGTCTAGTAGTTACCTAGATGGATAGTACAATGTTAATAACAAAATGAACTGAAAAGAAACATTGATAAATCTTGTTGCGTCGTTTTAAACCTGACCAGGGCAAAAGTTGCAGACACCAAAGTCCAAACCTGATCCGCAACTGCCGTTTTAAAAGACGTTCCCACAAAACGAAAACCTTTTGCAATCAACATACATCAAAAATAACTGAAAACATAAAGACCATTTGTTAAATGTATCTTTCTCTTCATGTTCGCCAGCTGTTAAAAAATCGGAAAGACAGTTCTACTCGTTCGTCAGCTTCTGAACTTTATTTTCGTTCAAGAACTTGAGTTTTGCATGCCCATCCGCTTTCCAGTTCTGGCTTTTTTTTATGCAGACTGTTGGTTCGTCGCCTCTTAGGCAGATGCACCCCTACTTCAAAGAAAACACCTCTAATTAGTTGGTCTTCACAAAATCCACGGTACGGGGAAGTCGGTGTGTTCTTTGTTTGTCCAGAATTAGATCCCGGAACCAACACGGAGAATTAAAATGTATGAAAGTCACACAATAATTTGTGAATATTTATGTACTGAATCCGGGCCAACTGTTAACGATATTCACTTGTGGTGTTTCAGTGCCCGCGTCCGTAAACAGACAGGATTCTTACGACAATGGTTTCGACTCTTGCGCTGTGACTTGTAAAGGTAAGTTTGCGTTTCGTTTCGTTCGCTGAAAGTGACACTTCTTATATAGGATGATGTTTTCTGTAAATACTTCTTGGTTTGTCTGATGTGTGTCGTGCTGAATGTATTTCAGCTGCATTATGTCTGTTTATAGCATTGGAGTATAGAGAATAGTGGAGGATTTTTATGCAGCGTTTCAGTGAAGTTCTACATCACCAGGATAGCACACAGTGCAATAAACAACACCCGGTGACTCAAAGTACAAGGTGCCATGCTTTTTTCTGCCTCTTAACCTCACATGGAGCATAGGCCCTCATCGATCCTTCTATCCTTCACTATTTCTTGCAGCGGGAGTCGCCGTGGCTCAGCGGCTAGACTCTCACCTGCTGATCGGAAGGTCGTTGGTTCGCTCCCTGGAGGAGCCATACTTTTTTTCTTTAAAAAATTTACCTTATGTCCTAGGTCGACAAGGCCTTGAGTGGGTACCGGGTGCAGTCCCGGGAAGTAAGGGCCACATCACCCATCTTGTGCCGATTAGTCTATAAAATATAGGTCTAGCCCTATATGCCCTATACGCCTAAAGGCGAGGAAAAAAGTCCTTTACTTTTTTTAAAATTTACAATTGCATGCAGCTCACTCGCTGTCCTCCACATCTTTTTAACTTTACTCTCTAGCTCCCGTCTCTGTGTGTTCTTTGACCTGCCCAAATATTGACACCCCTGTAGGTTCCAGTGCAAAGACATTCTAGTTATATTACTCTTAAGTTTCCTCAGCATGTATCCAACTCAACACCAGCATCTTTTCATCACCTCTTTGTCCATTGGTACTTGTTTTGTTCTCTCCCAAATCTCTATATTAGAGTTTTTACCACAGCATTTGATTTTCTCAGTTCTACACAGGCACCAGTAAATGAATGTCTGTAGTTTATTACTAATTGTCTTAGTTGTTCGCTCTCCATATTTCAGCTCCATAAAGCAGTACTTTTTTGACATTAGAATTACAAATGTTAAATTTAGTATTGTGCCATTACTTGTTGACAATTCAATCCCCCCCCCCCCCCCCTCCCCCCAGGTACAAACCCCAGAATTACTGTTCAGCCATGACTAACTAAATAAAAGTCTCTTACCCACGCCTTTAAAAAATACTAGGCATATAGGGCTAGATCTATATTTTATAGACCAATCGCTACTATGGATGGGAGGAGGGGGTGTTCAGCTGCAAAGTTATATTGTTACAATGTAACCTGAAGTCGTCGGGGGTATGGTGGAGTTTGTAGAGTTAAAGACGCCGATATAGTTTGTGTTTATGTTTATTCTATGGATCAACATCATGGCACATGGGTGTAACCCATAAGTGCTCCGTTCTACTTCTAACGCGAACCTGAGTCTGAAGATTCCCAGCACGAACTCTGTTGCACCGGCGAGGATCCTTAAATACTTGAGGTAAATTTTTAACTCCAAAATTTTGCCCAGACAGCGTCTTTAGGCTACTCTTTTTCAATTTCCAACAGCCAAGGGATTTTTGTGAGCAGACCTGGGACAAGAGTCGTCTGATTAATCACCACAGAGCAGGTGCCATTAGTGGTTTTTACACTTATAGAGCTAGCTAGGAAAAGATCTGAGAACCTATGGATCTGTCCGGAATATAGTTCTCACTAATTAGTGATCTTTCATTCCCATATCTTTTCATCCCACCTACAGTCTTTCAACAACTGTCCTTATATTACCATCATCATCATGTAGCAGGTCCTTTGCAGAACGTCACTCTCATCACAGTCTGCCTGAAAGAAACTCGGTCTCTCGCCAGCTCTCCTGCCTGATATACTTTCATACTCAAGGAATCACTTATATCCTGTGTCCATCTTCGTGTCGGTCGGCCCCTGCCCCTCAATCCTGGTACCATACCTTCTGCAATAGTTTTTTCCAATCCGTTGTGGCGCTTGATATGACCAAATTAATTCAGCTTCCGAGAAAGGATGCTGTTTATATTTTATATATTTTTATTCCCACAACTGTTAATTCCAACTTGTTTTTATTCCCAGATCTTTATGTTTCCAAACAGTCTTTCAATCTCTTAGAGCTTTATGCAAATTTATGAGGTCAACAGTCAAAGTTCCGAAACACGGCAAGGAAAAAGAAATTGGATCATCGAAAAACAAAACCAAGATTGTGCGACACTCTCAAAAAAAAAACGAGCGTGTATTCTAACACAACGTTGTGTCAAAATTTCAAAGTAATCAATGAAGAACTTTCAGCATACACCTTCATGCAGATTTCTGAGGTCAACAGTCAAAGTTTGCCTACCAGCGAACAAAAAAACTTGCCCTGGGAACGAGAGAATGAAAACAAAATATTGAATCATAGATGCTGATGTGATCATCGCTAGTGCTAAGTAGTTTGTGCTTTGTGCGACACTCTTCTACAAGCGCATATTTGAATGCAGCGTTGTTGTAAAAATTTGAAAGCAATCAGTGAAGAACTTTCAGAGATGGGCTCTTAATAACAAACTAACATTTACATTTTTATATTTATATAGATGAGTGGGCTATCCTCCAAATAACGGTCCTAAATTATCTAGGTGGAAAATATACCCTAACAGGGCCTCAGTCACGTGTCAATTGCGCTTTCCGTCATCTTAAATTGTGCACTTCTGGTGACTTCCGCCACCGCCGAGAGTATCCCGTACGCCGCTCACGCGGCATGGATTGGGGCTAAACCAGATGGCTGGGACTCACGAGCAGCAGCTACCGCATCTTCTGCAGCTTCCTTTATTTTGTTCGCTTGTGAGTCCTAGCCATCTAGTTTAGCCCCAATCCACGTTGCATGAGCGGCGTGGGGAATACTCTCAGTGGTGGCGGAAGTCGTCGGAAGTTCGCAATTCGGTGGTGGCGTTATAGTCCCCGGAAGTGCCCAATTGACACGTGACTGAGGCCCTGTTAGGGTATATTTTTCGCCTAGATAACTTAGGACCATTATTCGGAGAATAGCTGATGAGTGAGGTGTACCAGTAATTCCAAGGACAGTTTTGAAAATGTCTGTCTGTTATTACACAATTTTGTTTTTCAAAATAGGCAATGACAAATAACAGACATTGATGGTTAAGTGAATGATGGTTAATAGAAGTTTTACTGTACCAAGTTTCAAACTCCGATATGATATATCATTTCTGTTGACTCTCCCCAGGTGAAGGCAAGAAGTTTTCCTACACTCCGGCAACCACTTACATCTATGACTACACAGTGGACACAGAAACGTCTATGGCCGGCGCTTCTGAAGAATCGGCCAAACTTTCTATTCAGGTGGCTAATTCATTTTTTTTTATCTTGGCTTTTCAAACCTGATTCTGTGTTCTGTGTATCTGCTTGTTTGATAGCATTTGTTTAAAAAAAAAATAGAAATTCCCCTTTCCCAAGCTTTGTCTAAAGGATTAACAACTCAGGGATGAAAAACAGCTACAATTTTGAGAAATCCTGCTCAACTGTAAAGCCAAACAGCACATTTATATTGGGGCACCACAAAATGAAGTTGCCTGCAGTGGTTTGTGAGCAGGTCTAATAGCATACTGCTCCCCCTCCCCCCTCCATAAGTATTGGTGGAAAAGGGGGAGGGAGGAGAGAGGTAGAGAGAGAAAAAGAAAGAGAGGGATGGGCAGGTAGCTATTGTGGTGTAGGGAATAGAGGCTTGTCCTCTAGCCTGATGGTTGTCGTTCAGTTCTTCATTAATCCAGAGATTTTGTTACAAATGTGTTTGTACTTATAGTCATCCATACATAAAAGGGTTACCTGAAAGTGTTCTTGGAAATAAAAGTGGCTGACATATTTTTCACATAATCCCTTTTCAATTCATGACTATCATATAAATCTGAGAGGCAAGGAACCAATAGTCTGCATCCAAATAAGTCCGATCTGAAAAAGGGATTTTCACACAACACTCAGGTTCTGGAATAAGACCAAAAACCAGAGGTGGCTGAACAACTAGTACTTTCTGTCAAAGGGTACAGCTGGTGTACGTGAAGAATAAGAAGAAGAATATATCATTTGTTCTCCCTATGTGGGTTCTGAAGCCCCATTGGGGGGGGGGGGGGGGGGGTGAGGGGAGGGACAGACTCACTGCCTCCCTAACAAGCATGTCATAGGAGTTGACTAAATAAGGATTTCATTCGAAGTCAAATATCTGCTGGAAAGTGGAGAAGGAACCAACAGTGTGCATACAAGTAAGCCAGATCTGTAAAATGGATGTGCATGCAAAACTTAACTTTTGGATCAGGACTGAAGACCAGAAGAGGACAAACAAGCAGTACTTTTTGCCAGAGTTTACCGCTGCTTAACCTGAAAAAGAAGAAGAAGAAGAAGTTCATATGCATAGCATATAATATATTCTGGGTTACCCTTATAGATTTTCCTCCCTTATAGGTTATTTTCCCCTTATATGTTATTTCCCCCTTATGGGTTATTTCCCCCTTAGAGGTTATTCTCCCCTTATAGGTTATTCTCTCCTTATAGGTTAACTCTTTGAGTCCCAGGGGGCTTAGGATCACAGGCTCAAGGGGAAGGGAAGAGAGACTAAAATCGACACATCATGTGTTAATTGGGCTTCTAGGTAGGAACCTATGAATGTATGATGCGTACCTTGGAACTGAAGGAGTTAATGTCCCCTTATAGGTTTTTTCCCCTTATATGTTATTTTTCCCTTAAATGTTATTTTTCCCTTATATGTTATTTCCCCTTATATTTTATTTCCCCCTTATATGTTTTTTTTCCCTTTATGGATTATTATCCTCTTATGAATTATTTACAGGCACGTGCAGAAATCCAGTCACTGGATGGGTGCGACTTTGCTCTGTTGCTGAAAGATGTCAGGGTGTCTCACACTGATGCTTACACAAGTGGCTTGAGGCCTGCAGATAGGTAACCCATCGCATTGTCATTATCACATTAGGCACCAAGAACATAATCGGTGCCATGACCGCCAACATCATCATCATCACCAGTATCCTTATCATCAGCAGCATCACTGTCATCACCAACATCCTTATCATCACCATCATCCTCCTCATCACCAACATCATCATCATCACCAACATCATCATCATCACCAACATCCTCCTCATCACCAACATCATCATCATCACCAACATCATCATCATCACCAACATCCTTATCATCACCAACATCATCAACATCACCAACATCATCATCATCACCAACATCCTTATCACCAACATCATCATCATCACCAACATCCTTATCATCAGCAGCATCACTGTCATCATCAATAACACCACCAGCATTAACAACACTATCATATCATCACCACCATCGTCATGTTGTCAGTGTGTCTTTTTTTTTTCTTTGGGCGCACTGATGCTCTCATATCAGTTTTTCCTTGACATGATCTTCTTCTTGAGGTTTTGTTTAGTTTTAAACAACGGATCATGGCATTGGCGTAGTAACCCATAAGTGCTCCGTTTTACTTCTAACTCAAGCCTGAGTTCAAAGAATCTCAGCACAGTGCACAAACTCTGTAGCACCAGTAAGGATCCTGAAAATACTTTGGGTAAATTTTCAACTCTAAATTTTGCCTGGGCAGCGCTGTTAGGCTGTTCTTTTTTATTTCCAACTGCCAAGGGATTTTCTTACGTGCGCAACAATGCACAGGGGCATCTGATCCTACTACCCAGAGACCTGGGTGCAATTACTGGAAGTCCACATGAAAAAATCTCGGCCTTAGCCGGGGCTTGAACCCGGGACCTGCAGCACTCATGTCAGACACCATACGCTGAGACCTCTCAGCCCACCTTCCTCTTCCTCTTAGTGTTCACTGGCTGTAAACTCCAGAGGAAAGTCCTGGTTGTTCGTCCCCTCCTGGCTTTGACCTTGATCTAAAACTTTAGTTTTCTTTGCACATGCATTTTACAGATCTATCTTATTTGTATGCAGACTATTGGTTTCTTGCCTCTCAGGCAAAAGGACTCAGACTTTGAAGGCAACATCCTTAATTAGTGGCCTCCTATGACATGCTTGATATGGGGGTGATGGGTCGGTGCTTTATTAATATCCTACCACAAACAGGGAAATCCACAGGTCATAGGACAGTCTAAAATTGGGGGGGGGGGGGGGGGTTATAAAGGCTGCATGCATTCATGGGACCTAAGCTGCACTTTCTCGTGGAATGTAGGTAGGTTGGGGTTAGGGCCAGTTGCAGATCTTTTGAGGTCGTTAAAAGCATCAGAAAGCCGGGAAACCCAGTCTTACCACCCTCTAAAATGTTGGACTGTCCTGTGAAGTCACCTGGGGTAAGATATTAATAAAGAACCAATGGGTCTATTCTTTGTTCTCCAAAATCTGGCCCCTGAACTGACACAGGGATGATGTGATGTGAGTTATGACCGTCTGTTACATTGGATAAAATACTCTCAACAGGGAGGAGGAGGTACAGAGAGCACTTGAAGGCTCAAACCTACACTTTTCATTTGATGATGGTCTCATCTCCTCAATCTGCCCTGAAAGTGAGGAAAGTACCTGGGCCCTCAACTTCAAGCGTGGCTTGCTCACAGCTTTCCAAAACAGCATGGAGAACTTGGACAAAGATCACAAAGTCTCTGAGGTCAGTTTTCGTTTACAGAACAACAGTTTGTTTGTGTTTTTGTTCATTATATTTAAGCCATCCGTGGGTTTTCTTTCCCTTGCTGTGTTTCTTTCATGCTATCACTAAATTACTTTCATGCTCTTGCTGCATTACCTTCATGCTGTCATTGTGTTTTTGCATTAATTTCTTATAACATGGATACAACATACTTAACTTTTTCAATCCCAGAAGGTAAAACCTCTTGCCTAAATGAGGCAATAATGACAGCAACAAACTCATGGGTATACTACATCCACAGGAGCTAAATGCGCAATCCTTGTGGGAGTCCTATGTGTTGTTGGGTGCTTTACTGTGTCCTGTCTAAACACAAAATGTACAAGTTTAATAATATTTTGACTGGTGTGTATGATAAGTAAATGCATTCACACATGAAATGTTGAATTCATACATGTCTTACCTGCAGGTTGATGTGAGTGGCAAGTGTGAGGCTGAGTTTACTGTGGCCCCGACTGTCTGGGGTTGGAAGAAGGAGACCAAAGTCACCAAGACCAAGAACTTGCTAGCATGTTCCCAGAGAGATGGCTATCAGAGCATGTACCAGACCGTACCCTACACTATTGCCTCTGTAAGTATTCTGGGGTTTAGAACTGTACATCAGTCTGTGTAAGTCAAGTCAGTTAAAAAATTCTTGTTACGGCAGTGGCTCATCAGGCATCTCATATTTTTTTAGGCCAAAAAGTCCTCAATGGTTGATGTCATCAACATCACGCTGGCTGCCTTTACTTCTCAGAGCATTATATGGTTGCCGATTTAGATCGAGTCATCTTGGGAATCAAGATTCATTAAAAAAGAATATCTGCCTTGATGTGGTGGGCAACCGAGTATGCTCTAGCTCTTAATCTGCTATGCCTAGCAGCACATAGCAGAAAATGGACAAAAGAAAGAAAGATCTGCCTTGATGCAGGTTTTAAACCAAAACCTTTGGCGTAGCAGGTAAGTGTCTAGCCATTACACAACAGCTCTCTATCAGTCGTTGCCTCCAGATCTATTTCTTGAACTCACAACAGCTATTGAGTAAATTCAGGAACAGATTTAAAAATAAAATATTTTTTTACATGGGATTTATAAGGTAACAAGGTAACAGTAATACAGTACATGTTAAGTGCGTTTCAAAAGTCTTGGCCCCACATTTCAACAGATATCTGGAAAACTCTTGCACAGTTCAACACAAATCTGTGCATGAGGATCTATGTTTCCCATGTCCTTATGATTTCATAATTTACAGTTGCATTTGTGCTGCTGTTTTCTTAAAGTGGCAAATTTATTTGACTAATGATTTGTGTACCCCCAAAAATAGAATACGCAATAATGGACACATGAATGGAGATTATTTGGAAATCAGTCTACAGTGATACATAGTGATTATTTTCATAGCCTATCCAACACACAATGAAAAATTGTGTTCATCTAAAAACCTATGGGCGGTTAATGCTTGAGATGGCCACATGAGAGTAAAATGCTGATATTCTGAAAGGTCCCAATTACTCAGTTAAGTGTAAGCACACTGCGTGTTTGCTTTGAATCGGTCTCTGTTTTAAATATACCACAATTAAGATTAAATAAAAACTAGATGTCTGTTTACATTTGAAAAAAGAAAAGTCTTATCTGACAATGATTATTAACAGGTTGCATGCTGAATTTAGGCAATTGTTACTTAGCTACAGATTTTTTTAAAAGTTAGTCATGACTTCTGGAACAGACTGTAGCTGCCATTTAGCCATGAACGTTATAAACAAGAGTCCGTATTCTTGATTCAAGTGCAGAGTTGCACCTTCTAAATGGACTTGACCTTGTGGTGTTTTGCAGTTAGATAAAAAAGATCGAACAGCAGCACCACTGAACATTATTTTAAAAATCATTTCCATTTCAGGAGATCCAGTCTTTGCCCATCCTGAAGGGCACCCACAAATGTGATTACGTCATTGGCGCCAGCAAGATCCTTGAGTCTGCCTCCTGTGAGGAGACTCATCTCTATGTGCCTTTCTCCAACAGTGAGAGTGGCGGCAAGACCAGAGTCCAGCAGAAACTGTTGCTGAAGAGTCAGAGGCAGGGAGTGGATGCAGTTATAGGTAATTCTGGTCCATAGCAACATTCATTTTTTGTGGGCAACAATCATTTTTTAAGGGCAACATTCATTATTCATGGCAACATTCACTGTCCATGACAACAGCCATTGTCAATGAAAGCAGTCATTGTTCATGGCAACAGTCATTGTCCATGACAACAGTCATTGTCCATGACAACAGTCATTGTTCATGGCAACAGTCATTGTCCATGACAACATCAATTATTAATGGCAACATTCATTATAAGAACATAAAAAAAAAGTGAGGTTAATTAAAAAGAGGAAGACAATAGGTTCTGCAACAAGGGGAACAGACGGTATGGAGATACGTTTTGGTTAGAATGTGTTTTTACCTGTGTTATCATATTAATTTGATTTCCAACTGTGTATATACAAACTGCATATGAAAACAAACAAAAATGCCATTGGCTTTCTGTTTTATAAATAATTTAAACAATATTTTATGTTTTTATTTATAATTAAACTGTACAGATAATGTAATGGATTATTACAAATACAAATGCACCCAATTTCAAAATTGCTTAATGCTGCTCTTGAAACCCCCTTGCGCCACCCAAGTTAGAGATCACTGGTGGAAACAAAGTAAATGCATCAGCTTTATCATCATCATCAGTTCTCGTTATGCCTAGTGGCACATGAGGCTTCAGAGAGGACTTTCCATGCTTTCCTGTCCTGTGAAATCTTCAGTGCAGTTTTCCATGTCAAAGATACAGCACTCAGGTCACTTTCCATCGTTCCTCTCCATGTTGTTTTTGGGCGCACCTGTTTTCTCTTTCCCTCTGGTGTCCATGTGAGAGCTGTTTTGGCGGGTTTATCAGGATTCATTCTCATAACGTGGCCAAGCCATTTCCATCTTCTCTTGGTAATCATACTGTCTACAGTTTCTTGGTTTGTGGCTTGAAATAGTTTAGTGTTTGAGATTGTATCTGGCCAGAAAATTTTGATAATTCTACGTAGACATGTGTGGTGGAAGGTGGACAGCTTGTGTGCATCCTTTTTGGTCATTCTCCAGGATTCCGCTCCATAAAGAAGAACTGGCAAAATGATGCTCTTGTAGAGTCGGAAATGCATCAGCTTTGGGTGCAATAATTGGTCAAGTAGCCAGTTGTCTCACCATTCTTTGTGAGTTTACTGAGATTAAATAAATGTAAATAATGTGGCCACAAGAAATACATTGCACAATTTATTGCCTGGCATATTTCACTGTATCTTGTCAGGTGCGTTACTACAAAGCTAAAACTACCTATAATAATCATATATAGTCATCCCTTTGTAGGATGCAATTTTTAGTTTGAAGCCCCACCCTGGCTTCTGATGGTGGCCCTGAATATAGCTGGGGCATAGGTATGGCCTAGGTATAGATATGGTGTAACGGATTAGAGGGGTTTCTGGGACCTCTCCACGGGTGATACTCATCCTCATCCTCATTGTCAAGTTGGACCGTCTCTCCACTGGAAATAAATTAATCTATATAAATTAAATTTTTTAAATTATTTTTATAATATATTATAATTATCTTGTTTTGTTGATCTTTACCCTGTGACAGGCCCTGTGAAATTACGCTATGATCTTATTTTTGACCATGATGACATCAAAGATCAGCTTCACAATGGCCCTGAGGCTTTAGAGCAGAAGTTGAAAGAGATTTGTGACCAGACCCATGATGATATCAGGTATTCATTCGGTCATCATATTTTATTTCTGCTGTCAAATTATGGGATACAGATATCCTATCTGAAGCACGTCCTTTTTATAGGTCTACTGGTCTAAGAGGACTTTTATCTAGAAAACAAAGGTGCGGTACTTACCATAAAGTATAAGTTACATTAGAACTGAACAAAATGCCTTTAAACAAAAATGGTACTTCGTACCGTTACATATCTCTAGACAAAAGTTTTTGGTCTAAGCATTGTTTCATCATCATCATAATCTCATCATAAACCCCTTCTGCCATTAAGTGTCATGGGGAGGAATAATTTGTGATCCAGTGCGTGCTGACTGCCACTTGCCATTGTCATGCAGTGAAGGCCTAAAGTGTCTTTAATGTTGTTGATTCATTTTTTTCATGGCCGTCCTCTTGCTCTTGTGGCTGATCTTCTGAGATGTGGTGCCTATGATGGTATGTGATCTTCCGGTATTCTAACAAGATGGAAAACATGATCTATATGCTCATCTATTTAGAGAAATTGGCACTTTTCCTCTTTTCCAGACGATAGTGTTATTTTGTGTTATAGAGATACATGGCAATGACAACCCTTGTTGATAGTGGGTGAGAATAGCAATACCCTCTTGCATTAACTCTTTCATTCTCTGGGGGTTTAACATCAGAGGTCCAAGGGGTAGTAAAGAGAGACATATAATCAGTGCATTTTGCGGTAATTGGGCTTCTAGATAGGAACCTACAAACGTATAATGTGTTCCTGGGGACTGAAAGAGTTAAGAAATGTCATCCACAATAAGAGCACATGATTTCAGGACCATTGTTACCAATACATTTATTTAATGAACTCTTCTCAAATGCTTTGCTCTCAACCTATCTGCAATCATTTTCTCCTTTATCTCCGTTCCCTTCCTGATTTTTTCCCCCTCCATACAACATGGTCCATGACATCCTGCTCCCACTAATCCATCTCAGTCATCATCATCATCACGTAGCAGGTCCTTTGCAGAACGTGGCTCTCATCACGGTCTGCCTGAAAGAAACTGGGTCTCTCGCCAGCACTCCCGCCTCATTTACTTTCATATTCTAGGAGTCATTATATCCTGTGCCCATCTTCATGTTGGTCGGCCCCTGCCCCTCCTTCCATGTACCATGCATTCTGCTATTATTTTTTCCAGTGCAATATGGCGCTTTATATGACAAAAATATTTCAACTTCCGAGACAGGATGCTGTTTATTAGCCAATTTTCCTTGATGTTCAGATCTTTAAAATGTCTGTATTTCTTCTATCCATCTCAGTAATTGTATTATATATGCATCATATATGGACTTTATAATTGTACAGAAAATGTATATTGTTGAACAAGTTGTAAAACTGTTTCTTTAAGGTGTATTAATTGTTTCTGTGTGAAATATTTCAATCAGACCTGAGACACCGCGACTGTTCTCTGAGCTTGTGCAGATAATCAAAATTCTAAACAAGCCAGATCTGGAGAGAGCACACAAGCTGGTCAAAAACAAGATGATCTGTCCCAAGAATGGCAGAACACTGTAAGTCATTCAGTGCATTTTTATTATTTGGAAGATGGGGTTGTGAACACAGTAACATTTGTTTTGATAATCTCTGAACCCAGGACCCAGGGCCAGATCTAGACTTGATAAGCCCTAAGCTATATAAATGCCCTGAGGACCCATCCATTTTTAAAATAGTGCCCATTAATCTAAGAAAACTCACGCATATATTAGTTAGTAAAAGGTAGAAGTTGCTGTAAATAGGCACAACACAATCACCAAACCAATGTTTCCTAGTTGTAAATTTGAACAAAGAAGATACAAACAATAGATTGCACAGTTTATTGCCTGGCTGGCATATTTTGCTGTATCTTGTCAGATGCATTCTACAGTAACAAAATACATGAAGCAAATAAGTGAATCCTGGCCAGATTTCTTGAAGCTGACATGATTCCCTCTCTCCATCCTGAACTGCATAAACAGAAAGACATGGTTGTGATCTTGTGGTTAGGTGGTAAAAAGCAGGCAGTTGCTTGTGAGTGTGGTAGAATTTTTACTTCAGTTATAAAAAATGTGCTCATTTTCCTCATTTTGTTTAATTGTTACCCAGAATACACTTGAGAAGATATAGTCAAATATGGCAGGCAATAAATTGCTCAATAATTGTTAAATATAACACAAAATGTGACTAGAAAACTCAAAGAAGGGAATGGGAAGGACACATGCAAATACAACTGAACATTTTGACTAAAGTCTTTAACAACTGTGACTATAAAACACAACGGGCAAGACAACAGCACTAATAAAAACCAGGGTCAACATGAAACCAAGAAGTTTATAAGGAGGGTAACAGTATAAATATGAAGACTGTAATATGAAACAAAATAAGTAACAAGATGTATGTAAACAGAGGCAACAAATTTGAATAAGTTAAACAAATGGACAAGTAAATAAATTAAATTAAGTAAAGTAAGTAAAGGACCCTTTTCCACGCCTTTAGGCATGTAGGGCATATAGGGTTAGACCTATATTTTTTATAGACCAATCGACACAAGATAGGTGATGTGGTCAGCATCACGCTGGCTGCCTATACTTCTTGTGACTGCACCCGAACCCACTCAAGGCTGGGCCAACCTGGGAGACAAGGTCAGTTTTGTAAAAAGTCTGGCTCCGCCAGGGAGCGAACCCACGACCTTCCTATCCGTGGCGAGTGTCTAGCCGTTCCGCCACAGGGACTCCCAATTAAATAAAGCTGTATTGAATATTGATCCCTCCAGGACTAATAAACTGCACAATCTTTTGTTTGCATCTTCTTTGTACAACTCAATTACATCAATTGATGAATGAAAATAAGAAGAACAAAAAACACATGAACAACAATTTTAAAGATGGCTTGTGTGCAGTGTGTAATAAACCTTTCTTCTGGCTTTCTACAGCAAATTTTTCCTGGATGCTCTACCAGCCGCTGAAACAGCTGGGGCAGTTTCTCTGATGACAACACTGGTGACAGGTCAACAGGTTGAAGGAGCTCTGGCTAAAGCGTGGCTGGCTTCCCTTCCCTTGATTCAGGGACCAACCTCCAGCATGATTGAAGATGGCTTGGTAAGTTCTTCATCTGCCTTGTATCCCCCAGTGGAGCATATGTTCTCAAACAGCTCACTCTAAATCTTGTTTTCTTAAGCCATCTCCTTCCCTTGATTCAGGAACCAACCTCCAGCTTGATTGAAGATGGCTTGGTAAGTTCTTCACCTGCCTTGTATCCCCCAATAAAGCATATGTTTTCAAACAGCTCACTCTAAATCTTGCTTTCTTAAGCCATCTCCTTCCCTTGATTTAGGAACCAACCTCCAACATGATTGAAGATGGTTTGGTAAGTTCTTCACCTGCCTTGTATCTCCCAATGGAGCATAGGTTCCCAGACAGCTCACTCCAAGTCTTCTTATCTCAAGCTATGTCCTAGTCCAAGTCCTTATGAGAAATCAAAAAGAAAAGCTCGACCACGTTCAGACTGCTGCTAGCTAGCCTAGGCTGCTAGCAGTCTCCGCTTATATTTGTGGTCTGGGTTATTTGCGTCACTTTCGTGACTGAATACTAGTGTTTGTGCCATTTCTGGGCTTGATGCTTCCACCCGAATCAAACCGCTCGTCCTGTTGTCACTGGTGCATGTCTTCCTTCTTCTTTCTTGGTGTTTCCTGTTTGTTCTGTCTCCCTTTGATCTGGCTAGGCGTATCTCGAAGGAGAGCTAGCTTCCATACAAAACGTCTTTTGGACCACCATTTATTGTTTTAAAATTTTGAGTATTTTAATTTTGCCAAAAATTACTGAAAACAGTTGTTGAATTTGAATAGTTCCGAAATGTGAAAATTGTCCACGTGTGACCATAGTGGTCTTATAATTGTCTTCCTGTAATATGAACGGGTTAGTCATGTAATGGATATGTGATCTTAAGCCATCTGTTACAGCTCCTTTTATATGCTTTAAATTATTGTTCATCCCTCTATAAATCTCTCATCCATGTCTTTAATAGTCTCCCTGGGTGTTTATTTTTATCCCTGAAGGATTGAAAAAAAAAGGAATTTTTCATAATTATACATCATGGCGTGGCGTCCGTGGCTAAGGCGTTGCGAGTCCAACTCGTAAGCCAGCATACCGCGATCAAAACCCACTCAGGCTGCGTGGATTTTTGTCGTGGTATGGGACGTCGCAGGTCGACCCAGCCTAAAATGGGTACCAGGATGGGCTGTCCTGGGAAAGTAAAGACAGCCGGCGTAATGCTGACCACATTACCCACAGAGTGCTGATGGTCTGTAAAATATGGGACGCTCTGCCCATGTGCCCGATGCGCCGAAAGGTGTGAAAAGGGATCTTTACTTTACTTACATCATGGCCACACAGAACAACAACAAATGGACAGTTATGGTGGCTCATCTTTCAAGGTATGAACTTCTTGCAATACAGGTTTTCTCAATGTATGGGGGAAAGGGGAAGGAGGAGGGGGGAGAACACACACAGAAAAATCACTTAGATGTTATCAGATTTGAGCTTCTGTATTTTCAGTGTGGTTATGTCTATGTTCTTTTGAATGCATTTAAAAAAAAATGCTGACATTAGAGTATAGAAAAAGCATTCTTGCCTGTTATGTAGAACTGGTTTTAACATATTGATGTGAATTCTGGTCAGCTGCGGATAGACATGACTACCAAAGCTACACGGCATGGACTTTAAGAGGGAGAAGAAGAATGTCATTTAGAAGATGTTGCAGAACCAACCTCTGCAATTTTTGGGGCTGTTTGTGATTTCACTAGGTAATTTTATAATCAGTAGCTTTCATCTGATACAATGCTGTATTTGCAGAAACTTTTGCAAGATCCATCATCAACTGATGCACTTCTGCCTGTGACAGCTCTAGTCAACAGATACTGTCAACGAGTCAGCAGTTGTGACAGTGATTACTATGTCAGTCAGATCCTGTCATTGCTGACAAGCAGAATTCCTGACTACTGCAGTATTGATGACAAAAACTTGAAGAGTGTAGGTGTTTTGTTGTTTTGATGCAATGTTTATTTTAAAATCAAAAATAAGATTTTCAAATTGTATGGGCTCAGACCAAATATAAGGTATGCTCGTGTGCAAGCCCAAAGGCGATGTGTTCAAATCTGCATCGATTTTCTCAAAAATGACCTTGACTTCAAGGTTAACCCAGCCTAAAATGTGGACCAGGTAAAAGGTCTAGGTTAGAAAAAAAAAGCTAGCGTGATGTTGACCACATCACCGACCGAGCGGAAGTCGTCCTATATGACAAGAGTTCTCTACTGTTTCTATTTTTAAAATATTTTTTAGACTTATAAAATACAGAAACAGGCATGAATCAATAGTCAGAAAGTTAAACTGAGGCCCTGTTGATATGGATATATATAAGAATAAGTCATATTTCCATGGTGAAAAAATTGAAAAGTATCAAATGCATCATGAGGGACAGAATAACAAAACAAAACAAATAAATTGGAAAGAAAATAGAAAAAGAAAGGAGTGAAATATTTTAAATAACCCCCTTATAAAAGCCGTATAGCAGAGGAAAGTTGAAGGCAGGCAAACAGGAGGTAAACAGCAATATAAATAGGAGGGTAATGTCAAAGAACAAACAAATAAATGAAAAACAGACTTTATTTTTTCAAACAGTTAAGAATTGGGCAAGCAGGCCTGTCTACCATTCTTTCATTCTGTCATAAATTATTTCATTCAAACATTAAAAAAAAATATATAATAAACATTATGAATAACAATTGAGGTTTTAGTCACATTAACTGACCCAACAATGAGAGTGACCTCCCTGCCCATTGATGCCTCGATCTGGTGTGGGGCCTCTAGTATGTCACAGGGGTGCATCCTAGGTCACACGACTGTATGCAGCATATTATATGAGAAGAGGGAAACTGCAACATATTGTGACCACTGGAAAGATCTGTGGAAAAAAAGACAGAGGAAGACAGTGCAAGATGATTCTTGGCAGCCTTTTGTCATGGAATGGAAAGGTATCAACACACGAAGTAATACATTCTGTTAAAGATCACAGAATGCAGAGAGGCATGATCACCAACGCCAATCAGCAAGGCACTTGATGATGACTGTGGTAGTAAAGGTATTTATCTAACAGATCTGTGTTTTGTTCTCTACAGGTCCTTGTAACACTGAGAGCTATGGGAAATCTTGGGCACAGTGCACTGACCTCCTCCATTGACAAATGCTTAAGTTCCACGTCTGCTCCACTAGATATCAAGGTTGCAGCAGCTGATGCCTACAGGCGGGTTCCCTGTGATACGTCGCTTAACCAGGTTTGTGAGCATTTCTCATTTTCATCCTCTTCTTCTTTTCTCTACTCCTGGAATGCCTCGCAATGTCAGGGAAGGAAGAGGTCTCTGGAACAGGCCCTTCTGTTCGCTTCCTATAAATTACTTCTCAGTCTCTCTGATATTTCTGCGGTCCCTCTTCTGCGTGGTCGACCTCTGGCTCTGTTACCTCTGTATCTGTATAAGATTGTTCTTTGTGGTATCCTGTCTGATGCCAGTCTTGTTCATCATCATCAGGTGCCTTGCAGACTGGTGTAGGCGATCATGCCTCTCTAGAATTCCTGATCTCCTGCAGCATGTATCAATTCATGTGCTGATACACCTCCATGCCATGCAACAAGACTGTCAAGAATCTTCTCTCATTGTCTTCCTTTATCTCTCCTTCTACAGATCTTTCCAGTGGTCACAACATGTTTCATTTTCCCTGATAATGATGTCTCCTTCTGATGTCTGTAAGTTGTCTTCGGACTCTTTCAAAACCTCTTGGTTGCTCTTTTTGGCTGTTCAAGATATTTCAAGCATTCTTCTGTAAAGCCACATCTCTGAGGCCTCCAGAAATTTTTTGGCCTGCCTACTGATTGTCCAGGACTCACAGCCATATGTCAAAACTGGATGAATGTAGCAAGGAAAAATTATTTTTCTTGCCTCCAATGACTGAGATATATTGCATAGGATGTTTTTTCATTTTATAAAATGCAGTTTTTGCCTATCCTATTCTGTTTGTTATCTTAGTAATGCATCTTCCATCTGATGTTATCCATGTGCCCAGATACTTAAATTTCTGTACTTGTCCCAAAATAACACCATTGAGTTTTATTACACATTTAGAAATAATTCTTTTCTTTGATGCCACCAACACTTCTGTCTTTCCATTATTCAAACTGAGACCCATTCTTCCACTTTGTAAATGCTAGTTATTTTAAAATTGTAAAATATTGTACAGATGTTATAAGTAGTTTTAAAAGGCGTATTTATGACAAGTGGAAGAGCAGTTAACTGAGTGGTTACAACATAAGGCTCTCATGCAGAAGACTGGAGTTCGACCCCAGTTAAGATAATAAAGTTTTTCTGTTGGAGGTAAAATCAAACATCTTAACCTGCACAGTCCGTGGCGACAGCACTAGCCAGGCGGCCCTAAATCCTCAGACACAAGGCCAACTTCTGCACCATCCTAAAAAGCGGTAAAACAGACAGCAGTGACAGGTTTTTAATATTTTTATTGAAAACAATATAACCAGGACAAACTACATTTAGCTTTCCCACCATACATACCTCAGTATACGTCAAGAAACATCAGTATTCCTGTGTACACATTAGAGCATCAAATGAAAATAACACACACACACACATGCATGCATGAGTGTGCACACACACACATATGCACGCACACACACCCACACACACATGCATAATACATACACACACACACACTCACACACACACTCACACACACTCACACACACACACATGCATACACATACAAAAAATAAAACAAAAGTTTTTAATTGTAAAATCAAGAGTCATTTTAATTTTGATGAGCACCATTTTTTGTCCTCATTTAGAGAGATGGTGTCCTGTGGACCGTCCTACAGGACACTACCCAGGACCAGAGCTAAGGATAACCTCCTACTTGTCAGTCATGAGATGTCCAGATGAGGATACTCTCAGCCAGATATCCCAGCTTCTCAGCAAGGAGACAGACGATCATGTTGGAGGTTTCATCTACTCCCACCTCACCAACCTGAAAGAGACGTCAGACCCTCTCAAGCAGGACATCGCAAGAGCCATCAGTTTGTGAGTTCATGAAATGCTTCTGTCTAATGCTTCTGTCTAATGCTCCTGTCTAATGCTTCTGTCTAATGTTTCTGTTTAATGCTTCTGTCTAATGTTTCTGTCTAATGCTTCTGTCTAATGCTTCTGTCTAATGCTTCTGTCTAATGCTTCTGTCTAATGCTTCTGTCTAATGTTTCTGTCTAATGCTTCTGTCTAATGCTTCTGTCTAATGCTTCTGTCTAATGCTTCTGTCTAATGCTTCAGTTTAATGCTTCTGTCTAATGTTTCTGTCTAATGCTTCTGTCTAATGCTTCTGTCTAATGCTTCTGTCTAATGCTTCTGTCTAATGCTTCAGTTTAATGCTTCTGTCTAATGCTTCTGTCTAATGCTTCTGTCTAATGCTTCTGTCTAATGCTTCTGTCTAATGTTTCTGTCTAATGCTTCTGTCTAATGCTTCTGTCTAATGCTTCTGTCTAATGCTTCTGTCTAATGCTTCAGTTTAATGCTTCTGTCTAATGCTTCTGTCTAATGCTTCTGTCTAATGCTTCTGTCTAATGCTTCAGTTTAATGCTTCTGTCTAATGTTTCTGTCTAATGTTTCTGTCTAATGCTTCTGTCTAATGTTTCTGTCTAAGGCTTCTGTCTAATGTTTCTGTCTAATGCTTCTGTCTAATGTTTCTGTCTAAGGCTTCTGTCTAATGTTTCTGTCTAATGCTTCTGTCTAATGCTTCTGTTTAATGTTTTTGTCTAATGCTTCTGTTTAATGCTTCTGTCTAATGCTTCTGTCTAATGCTTCTGTCTAATGCTTCTGTCTAATGCTTCTGTCTAATGCTTCTGTCTAATGTTTCTGTTTAATGCTTCTGTCTAATGCTTCTGTCTAATGCTTCTGTCTAATGCTTCTGTCTAATGTTTCTGTTTAATGCTTCTATCTAATGCTTCTGTCTAATGCTTCTGTCTAATGCTTCTATCTAATGCTTCTGTCTAATGCTTCTGTCTAATGCTTTTGTCTAATGCTTCTGTCTAATGCTTCTGTCTAATGTTTCTGTCTAATGCTTCTGTCTAATGCTTCTGTCTAATGCTTCTGTCTAATGCTTCTGTCTAATGCTTCTGTTTAATGCTTCTGTCTAATGCTTCTGTTTAATGCTTCTATCTAATGATTCTGTTTAATGCTTCTGTCTAATGCTTCTGTCTAGTGCTTCTGTCTAATGCTTCTGTCTAATGCTTCTGTCTAATTTAACGAACGAACGAATGAACAAACTTTATTTTCAAATGGGTACAAATTGGGCACGCAGGCCCGCCTGACATTCGGCCCTTCTAAGCACTCGTTTTGTCAGAGTACCAATGCCTGTTATCTAAAATTCATGTTATGGATATAAAAAGGAAATATACATTATAGAATATAATACATACATCATGTGTACACAATCTTACACACCCACACACACATATATATACTCTCACATTCTCATACATGCACACTCATATACAGACATACCTAATACATACATACATACATACATACATACATACATACATACATACATACATACATACATACATACATACATACATACATACATACATACATACATACATACATACATACATAAACGCAACTAATTTAGTTATTTCTAGGTCTTCATCTCCTCAACCTCCTCTTCCCCCTCGCCTTGCAGCAAACAGATTTGTACAAAAATCATGGAGTCATACAAAAGTATAAAGTATGATGACAAGGAGATGCAAATGTTCACCAGAAAGTGAATTTGTGGACACAGACATTTGATTTAATTTGAACAAAAAAAGACACAAACAATAGATTGCACAATGTATTGCCTGGCATATTTTGCTGCATCTCGTCAGGTAAAAATTGATTAAAATTAAACAGGTAAAAATTGATTAAAATTAAACAAATAAATGATCCTTCAAACTAAAATACAAAATCGACTACATTTTAAATTTGCAATCTTTTGTTTGTCTTCTTTGTTCAAACTCACAATGGGGAAACATTGCTTTCAGTTTTCTGTTGGTGTCGCACATTAAATATATGGCTTGGTCGACCAGTTTGTCCCCTCCCGGATGCTACCAGCAGGCTTACCAACCTGATATAAAACAAAATCTTAGTCTGGATGGCAGACCAACAGAGCAGATCCCAGATAGCCTGTTCAACCTCCATAATGCCCGTACCAGCCTGGTGTGAACTGCTTGGCTGTGTGGGTTAGGATGAAATGGTTCGAAGTAGAGAGACACAGATGTCTTAGCTGGCATCTGGGTGTAACCAGAGGATCTGCCCAGCTCACTACACTGAGAGGAGAGGCGAGATGGACATAAAACCAGATTGTGACCGGTACCATCATTATTGGAACTCTGCGCTGGCTGCTGAAGATGAGGACGGAGCACATGTGGGAATGCTCCGAGTGCTGTAAGATCAATTCTCGACTCAACTCAACACAGATGTCTTAGGCGGGAAAGTCTCAGTGCTTTTTCCTTCACCTATATCTATGATGATAGGAAAAAATCGTCACTTTCGACCGGCATCCTCGAAGTGGGAGCTTTAGGTTATAATTGTGACTAGTTTATGTGCGCCATATAAAATGGCTTAGCATGGAATGCCATTAAGAGCCCTGAAAAGGACTCCTGTAGTGTTGATGCGATCAATGGAGACAGACCCAAATACTGTCCCCACCGACGATGAAGTTGCCTACCCGCAAGCCATTGGGTGACCCGGTCACCGATGTATGACCCAGGTCCAAGAGGAAAGACAAAAATACACACATAAACATGGTCTGATAACCATAGCCAAGAAGACATACAGAATGGATGGGAGACTAAACCTTATAAGAACTGAATGCCATTATCTGGTATTGAATTATTTTTGATAGCTTATTGTAATTTAGGAGCTACGGTAGTGTAATGGCTAGACACTTCCCTGAGGATCCAAAGGTCGTCTTGAGTTCAAATCCCTACCATGCCGGATGTTTTTTTTTTTTCAGAAATGACCTTGTATCCAAGATCAACCCTGCCTTAAATGGGTCCCAGGTAAATTCATGGGAAGTAAATGCTGATCACATCACCCACCGAGTGCTGGTTGGCCTTTAAAAATTTAGATCTAACCCTATATGCCAAATACATCTGAAGGCATAAAAGAGGGTGTATTATTGTTTTTTTTTTTTTTGCATGGCTTCTGTGTTTTGTTTTCTTTTCTGTAGACACAGCTTCAAGGAGTTTACTCAGAATGTGCTCAAATACTTCTGTGTTTTGTTTTTTTTCTCAGCTTGAATGTGCTCAAATACTTCTGTGTTTTGTTTCCTTTTCTGTAGACACAGCTTGAAGTAGTTTACTCAGAATGTGCTCAAATACTTCTGTGTTTTGTTTCCTTTTCTGTAGACACAGCTTCAAGGAGTTTACTCAGAATGTGCTCAAATACTCCAGCAACCACGAAGCGTCCGTTCTCATCAACAAACTGAATCTGGGCTTCACAGCAGACAGCAACATCATCATGAGCCCCAACTCCCCCCTGCCCCGATCTGCCATGCTGAACTTGACCGTGGATCTGTTTGGCAATTCCATCAACCTCCTGGAGATTGGCGGTCGTGTCGAAGGTCTGGAAGTTTTGATTGAACGACTGCTGGGACCTAACGGATACTTCTCCGTCAAATCTGCCAAATGGGTATGATACTGAGTCGCTTGAATGTTGAGTCCTTCTTATCAGATAAGATGCTATTATAATTCTTCTTCTTCTTCTTTTTCTCCTCCTCAAAATTCACCTGCTATAAAATCTGGCAGAATGTTCTGTTGTTTGTCCACATCTGGACTTTGGTATTGTTCCAGACCTTAAGATCCTTTTCACAGATCTGGCTCTGCAGCATTTATAAAGCATGTCTTTACCAACTATTAAGTATTCTGTGGTGCTTGTCTACAAAGGCCTAGTTCTGAATCCCCACATCTTAATTTTGCTTGTAAGTATGGCTGTAGCGTCTATTGTGTTCATTACTCAGTCTAAATATAATGATTTGTTTCTTTTATGTGAAGAGGTTGATTAGCTCTTCTTAGTTAGTTAGTTATTCCTCTTGTGCCAAAGATGGCGCATAGGGCAGAGGTCATAGCTTTCCACGTCCGTCGGTTCGTTGCCACTTGATGTAGGTCTTGAGTGCGACTGAGACCTATGGTTGAGCTCTCCCTTGTGATGGTTCTACGGAGAGTTTCTTTTGGTCTTCCCTGTTTTCTTTTACCCTCTGGTGACCATATGAAGGCTTGGTGGGGAAGTCTCTGTATGTCCATTCTGAGTACGTGACCGATGTAATTCCAGCGACGCTTTCTAATAAAATCAGACACATATTTTTGTTTTGTTTCCTGTCTTATAGATGTATTGGACCTAAAGTCCGACCAGTGAACATTCAATAGCTTTCGGAGGCATCTATTCTCGAAAGCGACTAGTTTCTTATCGATTGATACTGATGATTTCCAACTCTCACAACCATAAGTTAGCTCTTCTGCATTGTCCTAAATTGGAAGTTTCCAATGCATTCTAATGGCTGCCTTTATATGAGTTTTAGTTTCTTCACAAGTGAATAGCTGTATGTGTTTGGGGAGTTGGGTCCTTGTTGAGCAGACCTTGAATGTGTTTATCAGTAAAGTCTGTCTGCACCACTGGGTGTTCAGTTGATATGTGACAAGACAGATGTGGTCAAGGGCCTTTAGGAACAAATAACTATGTCAGAAGAGAGACTGGATTATTATTTTGCGGAGAGAATGATGCCCCTGGGTGTTACCAGAGGGTCTGGCCAGCTCACTGCACTGAGAGGAAAGGCAAAATGGTCCTATAACCAGACTACATCCAGTACCATTAGTATTGGAACTCTGTCCTGGCTGCTCTGAGAATGGGGACTGAGCGCATATGAGAATGCCCTGAGTGCTTTGATGTCAGTTCTTGACTCAACTAAACTCAGACCTTAAATGTACTTAATAATACTCAAATCTTTTGTGATTGGTTGCTATAATTTGGTCCTAAACTTTCATCAGGATGACGACAAGCTGAAGGATGTCAAAACTTCCATCTACACTCGTGTGTTTGGTAATGAAATCTTTTACGGACATATTAAGGGAACACAAGATTTGCCAGGACCTGGGAAGATACCAAATCTGTTGGATATTTTGAAGTCTCTTGCAAACAGGCAAACTGTGGCTTACACATACAGCCAGCAGCTCATGGATGTTTCCCTGATTGTCCCAACTATTGCTGGTGAGTGTGTCTCTTCTTCTTCTTCTTCTTCTTTTGCCTTTTATTTCCTTAAGGAGCATAGGCTCTTAGTCAACTCACGCCAAGTCGTTATATCTTTGTCCTCTATCACCTTACCCTACGTCCTTCTTATCTTTTTAACTTCATTTTTTAGTCCCCTTCTCTGTGTTATTATATATTAAAAGACGAGTCACTAAGTCAAGTGACATTTTTTTTTCTTCTAGTGTTGACATATCTGCCTTTATTTCTTTACCCATGTGGGTTCAGGTGCAAAGACATTCTGGTTATTGTTCTTAGGTTTTCTCAGTGTGTGTTCTTTCCAACACCAGCATCTTTTCCTCACCTCTTGGTCCTATGGAGTTTGTTTAGTTCTTCCCCAAAACTTTACATGAGTGTTTTTATAATTTGCTAGCCTCTTTTTTGTCTCTGACTTGTCTCTCACTGCTCGTTTGCTTTCACAACCTCTCGGCCATAGATTCCCATAGCAAATCAAAGCATAAATTCTCTTTAGGATTTCTTACCTAGTTAGCCATGTCTCAAAGCAAGACTGTTCAACTAAGTTTAGTCAGGGAACACAAATTTTGAAAATGGGGACCTTGACAGGTCAGTGACTTAAAACCTATCATAGAAAGATCAGTCATAGAGTACAACTGACCATGATCCATGGGTCACTTGCTAGGTCTCCACAGGACACAGCTGGCCCCAGACCACCATTTTAATAGCCCCGGTTTAGAGTGTATTTTACTGGGAAGGCTGACCCAGTTAATAAGTGCTAGCAGAAGTCAGATGTATCGTCTGAAAGGTGCAAAAAATCACAGCCATACTGTAAACGGACACAATGCAATTACATCTTCGAATGAACGCACAAGGAAAAAAAGTGTACTTGTGTGTTTTAATGAAGCTATAAAATCTCTAAATGTGAGTAATGTTTTGGACATTTTATGTGATTGCAAGTAGTTTTTCATCTATTTAAAAGACTAAAAGTATTTTTTTTTTTTTTTTTAATTTTTATTTAATTACAAGCAATTTTTAACAATGTTTCTGATAACAAAGGAATTTTGTAAACAATGGATATGATTACAAGTTACAAGATTACAAGGGGGCTCGAGGTAAGGTGTCTGCCTCAAGTAGTGGAGGTCCTGGGTTCAAGCCCTGGTGAAGGCTGGGATTCTTACATGCGGACTTCTAGTAATTTTTCCCTGATCTCTGGGTAGTAAGATCGGACGCCTGTGTATATTGTTGATCATGTAAAAAATCCCTTGGCAGTTGGAAATTATAAAGAGTAGCCTAATGGCACTGCCCGAGCTAAAATTTTGAGTTGAAAATAACCCCAAAGTATTTCAGGATTCTCGCCGGTGCAACAGAGTTCATGCACTGCGCTGAGATTCTTCTGACTCAGGCATGAGTTAGAAGTAGAATAGAGCATTTATGGGTTACACCGGTTTGCCTTGATGTTGATCCATCGAATAAACATAAACATAAACATGATTGCAAGCATTGTTTTCAATCAAGTATCTTATAAGTCAGTTCTCATTATGCGTAGTGGCACATGAGGCTTCATAGAGGGCTTTCCATGCTTTTCTGTCCTGTGCAATCTTCAGTTTTCCATGTCAAAGATGCCGCACTCATGTCACTTTCCATCGTTCGTCTCCATGTTGTTTTTGGGCGCCCCTGTTTTTTCTTTCCCTCTGGTATCCATGTGAGAGCTGTTTTGGCGGGTATATCAGGATTCATTCTCATAACGTAGCCAAGCCATTTCCATCTTCTCTTGGTTATCATACTGTCTAAAGTTTCTTGGTCTTATAAGTCGTTGACACTAAAATATACCCACTTTTTCAGGTCTGCCACTGGAGATCACAGTCAATGGCTCCATGAACCTTGACCTCAAAGCAGAGGGCAAGGCTGACCTTCGCAGTGTTGCCACTTCCCCCAGATCCATGGAGATTGATGGTGAATTCAGACCCAGGTGGGAAACAATATGTCTGCTTCTGTTTCTTGTAAATGTTAGTTGTATATTCTTTACAGGTCATTGCAGAACCAGCAGCAGCATTTGTGTGTGTGTGTGGCTGTTGTGGTTAAGTCTGGTGATTTCTCTAGCTAACCTCTACACCCCAAGGTAGAAGACGAGTCACTAGGTCAAGAGAAGTTTTTTGTCTTCTAGTGTTGAAGAGCCTGTGTCAATATAACATTTCTATTTTGTTTCATTTGTATAGGAATTTAGTGTTTGAGACACAAGTAGACACTCCATAATCTGAAACAGAGATTGTCCCCACTGCCTCTAAAGAGTCAACGGTGCACAAAAACATGGAAAACACACAAAAAAGGGGGAAAACAGGCCAGTGAAGAAAAAAAAAGAGGGAAACAAAAACTAGGGAAATAAAATAGGCGAAACAAAATCAGGGGGAAACAAACAGGGGGAAACAAACAGGAGGAAACAAACAGGGGGAAACAAACAGGGGGAAACAAACAGGGGGAAACAAAACATTTCTTTCAAGACATTTTCATCACTAATTTGTTACTGTCTATGCTTAACTCTTACAAAAGTAATTCACTATTTCACAGTGCTGCACTGGAAGTTACTGGTACAATGGCTGTGAATGCACTGACCACCAGAATGGGACTACGCATGCGCAACACGATGCACTCCAGCACCTGGCTGAAGGGACACATTGAGATCAACAGAGGACGGGTCCTCAACGTCGAGATTGAGCCGCCAGGTGACAAGATGGAGATCTTCAATGCCAAGTATACCTCTTTTCTTGTGTTCAGTTTTTAATTCCTAATTTGAAAGAAATATTTTAAAGATCCCTGGAGGGTAATTGCTTTGGCTGTGGAGATTTGTGCTTTATGTGACACTCTTGCGGCATGAACAGAAATGTGGTAAAATAAAACCCAGGTGCAGTGAAGTCAGTTCTCTTGCCCTTTCACACCCTTAGATCACGCACAACTTCAAGGGGCTGAAATATAACCACCAGGTTATCAGACTTCACTAAATGAAGGCAATAATATGATTAGCCTGTCACTCCAATGGCAAACTACTGAATGCAAATTTGCCTAGAAAAACCACAGCTGCCAAAAAATTATGGGGTTGATTCTGCAAAGATTATATATAATACATAATTATGTTATAGTCTTGATTATGTGAAATCCTAAAACTTCACAACCTGACAGCAACATCTTTCAATATCTTTTTTTTTTTTTTTTAAACACTTTTTGTATTGATTAAAAGTCGTCGCTTTGTGGGATGCAATTTTTCATTATTCTGTCCAGGTAATATCTCCCTGATTTAGCTTGACCCCTTCCTGACCTCCTGGCCCAGCTGCAGGTTACCACTGAATCTAATTGGAAATTTTGATTTTCTAATTTCTAAAAATAAAGCCTTTTTTCCACACATAAACCCCAACAAGGTATTATTTTTAGTAACTATATTTGTTACTGGTAATTCTAAAAAGTTGCCTGGGGAAAAAGCGGAAGCCGGGCTGTTAGCACAGCTCTTCATAAACAAGTTTTTATAGCAACCTGGGAAATTGACATTTTTGGGCTGTAGCACAAACCGGAAGTGCCAGGCTTGAGCTTCTCACAGCAAGAGGGTTAATATGAGTAGAAATGGACTTAGCCCATAAGGTTTCTACTGTATCCTGTCTGACCTTTTACAAAGTTAAAAAACAAAAAGGATGAGGAGAATATGACTTGAAACAAAAGAAAACAAAAAGTTTAAACTTCATCAGTGGTAATGAAAGGCAACAGTATGTCTGCAGGTAACAAAAAGGTATTAAGGCCAGTTTGAACAGTTTCAAACAAATGAAGTTATCAGTTTCTTGTGCATTTCACCAGGTCCCAGTTTTTTATCATTCACAACGACATTGAAAAGGAACAAGAAATGGTGAAGGAAAACTATCAGGAGCACAAACTCTGTTCTGGTTGGTGATCATTTTGTATTTTTAATTAAAATACTGCACTTTTCTACTTCGTTCTTTTGTTGTCACACTGATACCATGCTCAGTGTCCTGGTTTTCTTAACCTGTCTTGCACTTCTCGGGTGGCTTGGTGATTGAAAGTGAAGCAGCGGTTGATTACACCACTGCATTTATGAATCAAACCACACACACACAAAAATGTCGGCCTTATGTGGATTTTAACTCACGACTTTTGCATCCGTAGGTGAACTTCTAGTTGCTGCACCAGGGAAGCTCCCACATACATGCATATAAATACATAAAAGAGCAATAGCTTTTTAAAATCTGATTTGTATTTTGTCATTTCCCCGTGTGGGTTCCAAAGCCCACTGTAGACCAACTGCCTACATAAAAGCATGTCGTAGGAGTTGACTGACTGGGCGCTTCCTTTCAAGTTGGAGTGCATCTGCCCGAGAGGCAAGGAACCAGGAGTCTACATACAAATAATCCAGATCTGTTAAACTGATGTACACACAACATTCAGGTTCTGGAAGAAGACTGAAGTCCTGAGGTGGACGAATAACCAGAACTTTCGGCCGGAGTTCACAGCAGGTGTTCACAGCCGGTGTTCAAAGCCAGTGTTCACAGCGGGTGAAGATGAAGAAGCAGAGGAAGATATTGTCATCACCAGAGCTACAAAGTGTATACTCTGAGCTTGAACTCTCTCTGATGCCTGCTGAAAATGAGGATGGAGCGCTTATGGGAATGTCCCTAGTACTGTGATGTCGGTTCTGAACTCTGCTCAGTCTGGCTTCAGACTTATTTGCGGCTGTACTGTAACCAGCTGTCTGAAGCATAAGTAGTGAAAAGGTAAACATTCCAGTGCTTGTATTGAATATTTTAATGCTATTGATAATGTTTACTATTACTTGACACTTGAATGAAATGATATAAGAAACGAGGGAGACTGGTAGGGCAGAATGTTAGATGGGACAGCGTGCCCAAGCCTTAACCCTTTGAAAATAAAGTTTGTTCGTTCGTAGTTAGATCTGTACCAATGTTTTACTGGTTATTTTTAACCATGATTCCTTTTTTTGGATGTGCAGGTGACAAGGTGGCCACAATCATTGGAGTGGAACTGTGCGGAGAACTGAAATTCCCCAACGCTTCTTCTTATCCCAATGCTCCATACTTCCCCCTCACTGGGCCAGTGAGCTTCAGTGTTATGACCTATAGAAGGGACACACACACCAGCTACAAACTGCTGGCCAAGAGGAAGGAGGTGAGTTTTTAGGCTCATACAATCATTCTCATGGGATGCCTTGCCAGCTGGCATTGGTGACCATGCTTGTTCACATATTGTGACCCTCGGTAGAATGTGTCAAATCCCTATGTGGGCTCCGAGGTACCCTTGCAAGACAAAGGAAAACGTAGACCCACTCCCTCCCTAACAAGTATGTGGAGAGAGTCGATTAATTAGGGTTTTTATCCGAAGTTGGAGTGAAACTGCCTAAGAGTCACAGAACAACAGTCTGCACACAAATAAGCCAGATCTGTAAAATGAATGTGTATTTTAGATTCAAGATCTGGAACAAAACCAAAGTCTGTAAGTGGACAAACAACCACAACTTTCTGTTGGAGTTTACAACAGGTGAACATGAAGAAGAAGGGGTCATATTATATATGATTCAATATCATCATATTTCAGGTTGTTATGAACTTTTTATTTTAACTGTTGTTTTTTTCATCCATCCCTTTTTTTTCTGAGTGTCAGCTCTGTATAGCTCTGGGACCCAGAGGCTAGTGAAGTCATTTCATAATGTAATACTAAAGTTACCAGCATGGGATCAAATCCAGTACAGAGAAGGCTTTTCACAGTTTATTACTTGATGTTATCCCCATGGGATAGAACCTAGTACAGTGAAGGCTTTTCACAGTGTAATACTTGATGTTATCCCCATGGGATAGAACCCAGTACAGTTAAGTCAATCCTCTCATCTCCAACCTCCATCTGTTTAAGGCTGGTTTGACCTAGAGCCATTGATCAGTAACTTACTAGAACCCTAAATCAGTAACTTACTAGAGCCCTAGATCAGCAACTTACTAGAGCCCTAGATCAGTAACTTACTAGAGTCCTAAATCAGTATCTTACTAGAGCCCTAAATCAGTAACTTACTAGAGCTTTAAATCAGTAACTTACTAGAGCCCTTATCAGTAACTTACTAGAACCCTAGATCAGTAACTTACTAGAGCCCTAAATCAGTAACTTACTAGAGCCCTAGATCAGTAACTTACTAGAGTCTTAGATCAGTAACTTACTAGAGTTCTAGATCAGTAACTTACTAGAGTCCTAGATCAGTAACTTACTAGAGTTCTAGATCAGTAACTTACTAGAGTCTTAGATCAGTAACTTACTAGAGTTCTAGATCAGTAACTTACTAGAGTCCTAGATCAGTAACTTACTAGAGTTCTAGATCAGTAACTTACTAGAGCCATAAATCAGTAACTTACTAGAGTTCTAGATCAGTAACTTACTAGAGTTCTAGATCAGTAACTTACTAGAGTTCTAGATCAGTAACTTACTAGAGCCCTAGATCAGCAACTTACTAGAGCCCTAGATCAGCAACTTACTAGAGTTCTAGATCAGTAACTTACTAGAGCCCAAGATCAGTAACTTACTAGAGCCCTAGATCAGTAACTTACTAGAGCCCTAGATCAGTTACTTACTAGAGTTCTAGATCAGTAACTTACTAGAGCCCAAGATCAGTAACTTACTAGAGCCCTAGATCAGTAACTTACTAGAGCCCTAGATCAGTAACTTACTAGAACCCTAGATCAGTAACTTACTAGAGTTCTAGATCAGTAACTTACTAGAGTTCTAGATCAGCAACTTACTAGAGTTCTAGATCAGTAACTTACTAGAGCCCTAGATCAGTAACTTACTAGAGTTCTAGATCAGTAACTTACTAGAGCCCTAGATCAGTAACTTACTAGAACCCTAGATCAGTAACTTACTAGAGTTCTAGATCAGTAACTTACTAGAGTTCTAGATCAGTAACTTACTAGAGTTCTAGATCAGTAACTTACTAGAGTTATAGATCAGAAACTTACTAGAGTTCTAGATCAGTAACTTACTAGAGCCCAAGATCAGTAACTTACTAGAGCCCTAGATCAGTAACTTACTAGAGCCCTAGATCAGCAACTTACTAGAGTTCTAAATCAGTAACTTACTAGAGCCCTAAATCAGTATCTTACTAGAGCCCTAAATCAGTAACTTACTAGAGCTTTAAATCAGTAACTTACTAGAGCCCTTATCAGTAACTTACTAGAACCCTAGATCAGTAACTTACTAGAGCCCTAAATCAGTATCTTACTAGAGCCCTAAATCAGTAACTTACTAGAGCTTTAAATCAGTAACTTACTAGAGCCCTAAATCAGTATCTTACTAGAGCCCTAAATCAGTAACTTACTAGAGCTTTAAATCAGTAACTTACTAGAGTCCTAGATCAGTAACCTACTAGAGTTCTAGATCAGTAACTTACTAGAGCCGTAAATTAGTAACCTAATGACACAATATTCTATCTCCAGAGCAAAGAAAGCAGCACAGCCCAGTTTATGATGGACACACCCAACTCTCAAGTCAACCGCATGATCTCCACGGACATCACGATTGTCTACACCCCAGACAAGCAGGTCGATGTGTTGATTGCCTCCCCCTGGAAGAAGCTGAGTATGAACAGTTAAGTTTTGTCCCAGTGCAGTACCATCATCACCAACGTTACCACACTACTAGTCACCACCTTTATCAGTGTCATCATTCCCTATGTGGGATACTTAAGTTCAGTTCCTTCTTCTTCTGTGTTTATTCTGAAAATGGCAGAGCATGAACTCCATAGCTTCCACGACGATCCCAGGGGATCTCCATAAAAATGACACTCATAAACTAAAAGGTGCAGCCGTGAAACGAACCCACAAACTTCAGAGCGCAAGGGAAATGGCTTGACCATTTCGCCACATTAGACTGCAGGTCACGGTTCAACGAGATTTCTTGGATTTACTCCTGTTTGATTCTCATCCTTGAGGTTTTAATCCTAACAGACAGCAATCCTTTAGGGCAGTGATTCCCAAATTGTGCGCCCTGGTGCCCCAAGGAGCCGCAATGTCTTCACAGGGGTGCCACAAAATACTCAAAAATACACAAGTTTTATTTGTTTTGATCTCCTACAAACAAATAGTCATACTTTTACCTGGGTTGGGGCGTTGTGTGGAAAAATGTTAATTGAAAAAAGGCATCGCGACTAAAAAAAGTTTGGGATACACTGCTTTGGGGAAACAGCAAGCACAAACAGCTGTTGGACAACCACTTTCAGAAATCCCCTACTCAGTCACTTCTTCAACATGCTTGTTGAGAAGGCAGTGGTTCTCTTCTTTATTCCTCAACAATGGGGCCATGAAATTCATACGAGGATTTAGTCCAGTAATGTTTAGTCTTGTATCATTCATTGTTCTTCTATTCCCTGAACTCATATGAGGATTGAGTCCAGTGATGTTGATTCTTGTATCATTCATTGTTATTCTATTCCCTGAAATCATATGGGGATTGAGTCCAGTGATGTTTAGTCTTGTATCATTCATTGTTCTTCTATTCCTTGAACTCATACGAGGATTGAGTCCAGTGATGTTTAGTCTTGTATCATTCATTGTTCTTCTATTCCCTGAACTCATACAAGGATTGAGTCCAGTGATGTTTAGTCTTGTATCATTCATTTGTCTTCTATTCCTTGAACTCATACGAGGATTGAGTCCAGTGATGTTTAGTCTTGTATCATTCATTGTTCTTCTATTCCCTGAACTCATACGAGCATTGAGTCCAGTGATGTTTATTCTTGTATCATTCATTGTTCTTCTATTCCCTGAACTCATACGAGGATTGAGTCCAGTGATGTTTATTCTTGTATCATTCATTGTTCTTCTATTCCCTGAACTCATACGAGGATTGAGTCCAGTGATGTTTATTCTTGTATCATTCATTGTTCTTCTATTCCCTGAACTCATACGAGGATTGAGTCCAGTGATGTTTATTCTTGTATCATTCATTGTTCTTCTATTCCCTGAACTCATACGAGGATTGAGTCCAGTGATGTTTATTCTTGTATCATTCATTGTTCTTCTATTCCCTGAACTCATACGAGGATTGAGTCCAGTGATGTTTATTCTTGTATCATTCGTTGTTCTCCTATTCCCTGAACTCATATGAGGATTGACTCCAGTAATGTTTAATCTTGTATCATTCATTGTTCTTCTATTCCCTGAACTCATACGAGGATTGAGTCCAGTGATGTTTATTCTTGTATCATTCATTGTTCTTCTATTCCCTGAACTCATACGAGCATTGTGTCCAGTGATGTTTATTCTTGTATCATTCATTGTTCTTCTATTCCCTGAACTCATACGAGCATTGAGTCCAGTGATGTTTATATTTGTATCATTCATTGTTCTTCTATTCCCTGAACTCATACAAGGATTGAGTCCAGTGATGTTTAGTCTTGTATCATTCATTGTTCTTCTATTCCCCAGGTGCATTGGTCAGTAACAAAGACATCCTAAGCTTTGTGGGCAGCATCTTGCTGGACGACAGTGACAAGTACGGGCTGACCACTGAGCTGAAAATCAGCAAAACTGGCAACGCTGTTGCCTACACTCCGTTTATTGAGCTAACACAGAGCGGTCACACAAACACTCTTCTCTCTGGTCTGGTCAATGTGGACATGCCTGGAAAGTTCGATGCTAACCTGGAGGTGAAAGGATTTGGCATGTCGCCTTACACTGTAGAAGGTGGGTAATAATAGGATTTGTTTGATATGTTGAGATTTGCTTTTGCTGCACACAGAGACATCCATAAGTGCTCAGTCACCTGTTTGTTGGTACGCTGGCTGGTGAAAGCTTTACAGTTAACTCCTAGGGAGGAAAATAGTTTGAACAATCACAAGTATACTACTTTCAAAGATGCTGAATACATAGAAGAAGAGGGTACTGGGGTAGCCAGATTTCTTTGGTGTGGTGTGACCATATGTACACAGTTTGAGAACACATTACCCAATGGTTAGGATTCAAGCTGAAGAGCCTATTCTGCTGTGGCTGAGATAGTTAACTCTTAATTCTTATGAATTTATGTTGACTGAGATTGTTAACTCTTATTTCTTATGAATTTATCTTCAGAGCCTGACAGTATCAGAGTGTGGTTATTGTGAGTTTTTTTCTCCTGATCTATTGCCTGGGGTGATAAAAACAAGGATGACTGCAGTAACGCTAACTCTTAAGAAATTAATTTATTGAACTTTAATCGAGAAGCTTAACTAAGTTAGGATGGAGAACAACATGTACACACACACATAGGCACGCATGCAAATACTCACACGCACGCCTACACACATGCACACATGTTTGCAAGCACACGCATTGCATTTTTTTGGTGGACCATTTCTGGACAATGACCGCAACAACAGAAACATGGGACAGAGTATCCTGGCTGCCAGTGTCCCTGGGGACTGCTTTACACAGCTCTCCTCTTTCTCTCCAAGCATGAGGGAGATGTGTAAGACACAAGGGAGATGTGTAAGACATGAGGGAGATGTGTAAGACATGAGGGAGATGTGTAAGACACAAGGGAGATGTGTAAGACACGAGGAAGATGTGTAAGACATGAGGGACATGTTTTAATTTTCCCTTGTGGGTACCAGGGCTCGTGTTAGGAAAGACAAGAATAGACTGACTGACCCCTATAAGCATCTGGACCTGTTCATGTTTCCCGGCCCATCTTCACACTTTCTCAGTCTGATCTAGGCCAGAGAGGTGTCATGGTGCACTGCTTTCTTTGAAGAAGCTCTCTTGTGGGACCTAGGCTCAGGCTGTGGGTAGGGAGGTTTGGGTTAGGGCCAGTTCTAGATGTTCTGTGGGTTGTTGAAAGCTGTGTTGTAGAGTAGTGTAGAACACGGTACATCGGGGCTGATGTAATTGGAGGCAAGACATCCAACGTAGGAGAGTCCAAGAAAATATGAATGAAAGGTCAGACAGTATGTAGATGGGCCGGGAAACGTGAACCAGCCCAAGCACTTCCTAAAAGGTTACTAATTAGGGGTATTTCTTTCAAAGCAGGAACTCATCCACCTAGGGTGAGACACTAACAGTCTGCATACATCTGTAAAACAGATTCCCCATGTGGATTCTAGGGCCCCATTGTGGGGAGAACAAGAATAGATCGACTGCTTCCCCAACAAGCTTGTTTTAGGAGTAAACTAATTGGGCACTTCCTTCAAAGTTGGAGTGCATCTGCCTGAGTGGCATGGAACATCTAACTGCACACAAATAAGCTAGTAAAACAGATGTACATGCAACACTCAGTGTGGTACAGAACAGAAAATACAAATAATCTAGCCACTGTTGGGAGTTGATCCTGAACCACTATCTTGTCAGGGAGACTACTACGACTACTGAGCCATTTACAAGACTTGGTTATGAAAATGTAGTAAAATATTGTTATTAGTTTGGTGTTGGCTGAAATGTCTTGTTTTCTTTCTCAGGTGGGCTAGTTAACCAAGAGAATGAGAAACGTGCTCGGCTGAGTCTCAGCAACCAGGGAAAAACAATGTATGTCTTTAATGTTGGTTCCACCATCGACAGAAGTGGCAAGGATAACAGGTACTGATCGATCTATGTGTACCAAACAAAATGTTATTAGTTATTTATTATTATTTTTTTTTTTTTTTTCTCTTTTCATGTTTGGTCTGAAGCTGGTAAATAACCTTAGGCAGTTTTATTAACATCTTCTTGTTGTTCTTCTTCTTCTTCACGTTCACTGGCTCTAAATGTTGGCAGAAAGTTCTTGCTGTTCTTTAATCTCTGAACTTGACTCTTGTTCCTAAACCTGATTGTTGCATGCACATCCGTTTATTGATCTGACGTATATGTATGCAGACTGTTGGTCCCTTGCCTCTCAAGCAGATGCATTCCAACTTTGAATGATCCTCTCCTCCCCCAACCCCAATTAGTCAACTCTTATGACATGCTTGTTGGGGGATGGGGGGGGGGGGGGGAGGGCGGTGAGTATGTTTTTTTTGGGGGGGGCCCACTATGGAATCTCAGAACTCCACACAAGTTTTTATTAGCATGAAACGCAGCATGTTTTGTTCCAGGTTACCATTTTGAATGTAATGCACTTGTGAAGTTTCTTTATGGGCATTGCCTCTGTCCATTTCTATCACTTTGATAGAGACTGACTACCTCAATGGGCAAAAATATAAAACCATTCATTTGCGAGTCTGCACAGGGCTGTGTGCCAGTTGGCTTAGAGCCTATATTCCATTTTGAGATGGAATAAAGAAGAAAATGAGAAGACAAGAGACCATCCCCCATCTATATAGTTCCTTAAACAATCGATAAGCACACATGCAAGCCATTTTCTCAAAAACTGCCTGTTATATCACAGTGATTGTTTGTATGCAACTTTAGAATATTCATGATGTTAATCAGGAAATATTCTTTCACTAATGAAGAATATCAAATGTAGTTTTCTTCTTCTTTTGGCACACTACACTCAGAGAAATGGCAAGATGGACATATAATCAGACTGCGTCCGGTACCATTAGTATTTGAACTCTGCGCTGGCTGCTGAAGATGGGGAAGGAGTGCATACGGGAATACCCGGAGTGCTGTGATGTCTCTCTTGACTCAGCTCAACTCAACTCTGTTAAACATAAATGACAACAAATAAATTTACTTCACCTGTCAATGTATTATGAAGACAACACTTCTGACAAAAAATAGAATTGGAAATTCAGATTTTCTGTTTCTAGTGCCCTATTCATTGTCCATGATTGGCACTGATAATTCAATGTTGTTTATGTTTATGCTTCCAGGAATATCAAAGTGGAACCTCAGCTGATTGTCAAAACACAAGACCAAACTTTGCTGTCCATCACAGGCTCCAGTGACTACAAGGCAGACAGGAGCGCCACAGGGGACATCACTGTGGATATCTACAAGATGAAGCCAGCTTCAGTCTCATGTGAGTGACCACTTCTTTGTCTGCCATAGTGCCTTTCTTTATATGTGTTTTTTATCAGTCTTCTTTTTAATTTTGTTTGTTATAATTTCTGTCCTGTTTTTTTTTTTTTTAAATATAATGCAGTATCTTAGTATGCTGTCAGTCATCTTCTGCTAATTTGTCTCAATCTTTTTTTAGTCATTAAAAAAAAAAAAAAAAAAAATTTGTCTGCCAGATGCTGCTTTTTAGGTCTTCTAGTTGCTGCTGACTTTGTGTCCTAGTTACTTCTCCCTTCATCTGTCACTTGCTGCTAGCTTTTGTCTCTCAGTTGCTGCTCATTTCATCTATCAGTTACTGCTAACTTTTGTCTCCTAGTTACTGCTCATTTCATCTGTCAGTTACTGCTAACTTTTGTCTGTCAGTTACTGCTCATTTCATCTTTTAGTTACTGCTAACTTTAATCTCTCAGTTACTGCTTATTTCATCTGTCACTTACTGCTAACTTTTGTCTCTTAGTTACTGCTTATTTTATATGTCAGTTACTGCTAAATTTTGTCTTTTAGTTACTGCTCATTTCATCTGTCAGTTACTGCTAACTTTTGTCTCTTAGTTACTGCTCATTTCGTCTGTCAGTTACTACTAATTTTGTCTGCTAGTTATTGCTTAATTCATCTGTCACTGCTAACTTTTGTTTCTTAGTTACTGCTCATTTCATCTGTCAGTTACTGCTAACTTTTGTTTCTTAGTTACTGCTCATTTCATCTGTCAATTATTACTAATTTGTGTCTGCTAGTTACTGCTTATTTTGTCCGATTTGCTTCAACATAAGGAAATGTGAATCTTCTCAGTTTACACATTAAATAAATGTTTACTAATTCATATTTCACTACATGTTTATAAAAATGTCCTCATCCACTCAAATAAATAGCACTATCCATACACACATATTTTGTATGTCAATATTTATACTTTATAAATCATATTGTAAAATATATTCACATATTTTTGTATCCAGGGAAGGTCAACCAAAACAATAAGGGCAAACAGTCAAACTACAATGTTGACCTGAGGGTGAAGTCAGTCCTGCTGACCGGGTCTATCGAAGGTGACCTCAACCACCAGAAAAATTTCTTCACCTCCAAGCTGAAGATCGGCTACAACGTTCCAAAGTTGGGAACAGACGTTGTCACCTGGCATACAAAGTTTAACAACAAGAGCAAGAATACCTTCTCCAAATACCTTCTTACCAGGTAGGTTCTGACTAAAGGCCATAATTTTTGACTCCATTTTGGGGTGTTTGTAACGCAGTTCAATCACTGAAGAAAGAAGGGAAAAAAAAACTGCAGCTTTTTTAATTGAAGTACGACAGAAAAATTCTTAGACTACCATGGACCAAGAAGAAGAAAACATCAACATCCTACAGGATCTGAAAATTAAGGAGAACTGGCTCATAAACAGCATTCTGGGGTATTTTGGAAATGTTAAATATCATGGCAGCCTGGAGATGAAGGGTGCAGCTTTAAAAAAAAAAGACTGGACAGAGGCTAGACTAACCTGTGAATGTTGATAGAAGACATTCAAGATTACTTTAGCTATGAAAGCTTGGTTATGAAAGCTTGTCTATGAAAGCTTGGCTATGAAAGCTTGGCCATGAAAGCTTGTCTATGAAAGCTTGGCTATGAAAGCTTGGCTATGAAAGCTTGTCTATGAAAGCTTGGCTATGAAAGCTTGTCTATGAAAGCTTGGCTATGAAAGCTTGGCTATGAAAGCTTGTCTATGAAAGCTTAGCTATGAAAGCTTAGCTATGAAAGCTTAGCTATGAAAGCTTGGCTATGAAAGCTTGTCTATGAAAGCTTAGCTATGAAAGCTTGGCTATGAAAGCTTGGCTATGAAAGCTTGGCTATGAAAGCTTGGCTATGAAAGCTTGGCTATGAAAGCTTGTCTATGAAAGCTTGGCTATGAAAGCTTGGCTATGAAAGCTTGGCTATGAAAGCTTGTCTATGAAAGCTTGGCTATGAAAGCTTGTCTATGAAAGCTTAGCTATTAAAGCTTGTCTATGAAAGCTTAGCTATGAAAGCTTAGCTATGAAAGCTTTGCTATGAAAGCTTAGCTATGAAAGCTTGGATATGAAAGCTTGGCTATGAAAGCTTTTCTATGAAAGCTTGGCTATGAAAGCTTAGCTATGAAAGCTTAGCTATGAAAGCTTAGCTATGAAAGCTTGGCTATGAAAGCTTGGATATGAAAGCTTAGCTATGAAAGCTTGGATATGAAAGCTTGGCTATGAAAGCTTGGCTATGAAAGCTTGTCTATGAAAGCTTGGATACGAAAGCTTGGATTTGAAAGCTTGGACATGAAAGCTTGGATATGAAAGCTTGGATATGAAAGCTTGGCTATGAAAGCTTGGCTATGAAAGCTTGTCTATTAAAGCTTGGCTATGAAAGCTTGGCTATGAAAGCTTGGCTATGAAAGCTTGGATATGAAAAGCTTGGCTATGAAAGCTTGGATATGAAAGCTTGGATATCCGATATCCAAGCATATTGGTCTGACCCATTCGTACTATGTCCTCTCATGCAGCAGCCATCTCATTGTCTCCATTAGGAGTTGATTGGCATTTCTTCTTTCTTTATCCCACAACCAACCTCTGCATGCTCGTCCTCGTTTAATACCAATTTCCAACAGACGGTGCACTGTGACAGACTCCTTTGTCTCAAATTCTTTAGAACACAGATAATTCAGTATCTCTGGCCTGTCCATACTTTTTCCTCCACCAATCACTGTATTATAGTAACGATTATAATTAATGACTCTGACAAGAATTATGACAAGAGTGTTCTCCCTTCCAGCAATTAAGACATGAATTATGACAAGAGTGTTCTCCCTTCCCACAACTTAGACATGAATTATGACAAGAGTGTTCTCCCTTCCAGCAATTAAGACATGAATTATGACAAGAGTGTTCTCCCTTCCCACAACTTAGACATGAATTATGACAAGAGTGTTCTCCCTTCCAGCAACTTAGACATGAATTATGACAAGAGTGTTCTCCCTTCCAGCAACTTAGACATGAATTATGACAAGAGTATTCTCCCTTTCAGCAACTTAGACATGAATTATGACAAGAGTGTTCTCCCTTTCAGCAACTTAGACATGAAGAAATACACAGACTACAATGCAGGTCTGACTGTTGGCCTGGGCTACAAGAAGAAGCAGACAGACGTAGATGTGGAGCTGAAGTATGGGGCTAACCCCAAGGACAAGAAGAAGGTGGTCATCCTGAAGTCTTCTCTCAACAAAGACATCAGCAGTTGGAAGAATGCCGACGTCGGGTTCCAGCTGAGGACCCAAGCTCCAGAGAGGGTAAGTGGTTCCATTTTGATGATATTCTGGATCAGAACCCACCTCTCCCTTTATGGGTTTAGGAGCCCCAATTTAGAAATATGGGGTGGGGAAGAATAGACCCACTTCTCCCCCCCCCCCCCCCCCAAAAAAAAGTGGGTCGTAAACGTTAACTAATTAGGGGTGTCTCCTTCAAAGTGAGGAGCTAACCAGATTTGTGACAGCTTTCTTCTTAACCATCAGGGGCCATAATTAAACGGTTGTACGTTTAAACAGGGTCTCTAGGACTTGACCCCATTGGATTCTCATCTAAATAATGTCCCTTTGAGTAATTGGGGGTTGATTTTTCAGAATGCAATTCTGATTTAAGGTCATGGGTTAGCTCCCTAGCGAAGCCAGACTTTAAAAAAAAAATGACCTTGACTTCTTGAGTGGGTACCGGGTGCAGTCCCGGGAAGTAAAGGTGGCTGACGTGATGCTGACTACATCACCCATCTTGTGCCGATTGGTCTATAAAAATATAGGTCTAGCCCTATATGCCCTATACGCCTAACGGTGTGGACAAGGGACCTTTACTTTACTTTTACAATTCTGATTTGAGGGTGGGGAGATTAAAAAGAAATATTCTGTAATGGTAAAGGCATTGATGATGATGTAACATATATTTTGGTAGAAGTAGTAATTTTTCAAACACATCCTATTTAACCCTTGGGGTTATAATCGGGATATATAGTGTTCATTGAGTTCTGATAGTATATATTTGTTATTTTAACTTTATATATCATGTAGTGCACTCCCTGTGTGGGTTCTAGGGCCTTATTATAGGGAAAACAAGAATAGACCAACTGCCTACCCAAAGGCATATCGTAGGAGTCAACAAATTGGGAGCTTTCCTTTAAAGTCGGAGTGCATCTGCCTGAGAGGCAAGGAATCAACAGTCTGCACACAAATGAGTCAGATCTGTCAAACGGATGGACATGCAGCCCTCAGGTTCTCAAACAGGACTGCAGTCCAGAAGTGGACGAACAACCAGAACTTACTGCCAGAGTTTACAGCCAGTGAACGCTAAGAAGAAGAAGATATATCATGTAATTATTTGTATGATCAAGATGTAATTTGTATTGTTTCACATACTGCTTTGATTTAGGTTGTGATTATGATATAAATTGTATTATAAATAATCAGACATAGAAATTGTATTATAAATAATCAGACATAGAAATTGTAGTATAAATAATTAGACATAAACATTGTAGTATAAATAATCAGACATAGAAATTGTAGTATAAATAATTAGACATAGAAATTGTAGTATAAATAATTAGACATAGAAATTGTAGTATAAATAATCAGACATAGAAATTGTAGTATAAATAATTAGACATAGAAATTGTAGTATAAATAATTAGACATAGAAATTGTAGTATAAATAATCAGACATAGAAATTGTAGTATAAATAATTAGACATAGAAATTGTTATAAATAATTAGACATAGAAATTGCACTATAAATAATAAGACATAGAAATTGCACTATAAATAATAAGACATAGAAATTGCACTATAAATAATAAGACAATCTCACCACGTTGTATCAATAACATGGTGGATATATTGTTTCCTTAGCGTTCAATCTTTGATTATTCTCCTCGATTTTATCTTTAGGGGAAACTTCTTCAAAGATGCCAGAGACTTTCTTTACCCTCCTATATACGGATTGTAGTCCTAGTAATAAAGTGCTTTGACTCAAACTTAAACATAGAAGAGGAAATAACACCCAGGGCATCTTTGAAGAAGTTTTCCCCTAAAGATAAAATCGAGGAGACTGTATTGTGATGAGATACTTGACAAACTCTGTCACAGCAAGACATGTTAAACGACATGGTATAGTGTTCTTGATGTTAGCATGATAAATAGCTTTAGGTTAAATAAATTTACATAAACACATAAACAATTTATGTGAATAAAGGCAATTTGAAACCTAAATATTACCTTCATTTTGTGAAGCAGGATGCCCTGGCACTACAATACTGCTGAGTAAAGGACAGTTTTGGAAATAGCAATCAGATATAGAATAGGAATAGTTGCAAAGTTATCGACAGCATTAAAAACTAAAGATAAAATATCTTAACTCTTTGAGTCCCAGGGGGATTAGTCAGCATCACGTCGGCCTTTACTCTCCCAGGGGGTAGTTTAATATAGTCATAAAATCGGCGCATCATGCGTTTTTCACGAGTCGGGCTTCTAGTAGTAGGAACCTAAACAATTTATGTGAATAAAAGCAAATGAATTCGTGAATGATGCCAGGGCATTCCTGCTGGGAAAGGACTCAAAGCAGTTAAGAATAGGAATGATTATCGACAGTGCATAAAGAAAAAAAAAATACACAATGCATGGTAATTGCCTACTACATGGCTGACAGCCAGAAAGCAGAATGACATAAAAATGATTATTTTTGGTAAGTCACATGACTATGGTGAGCTTCCGACGGCCATGAAACGGACACAATGTATCGGAAGAAACTATTCGCATTTCAGTTGAATTTGTTCAGTTTTGTGCTTTATTTTATGTTGATGTAACTCTGTAGTAACGCACCTGATGAGATACAGCGAAATATGCATGGCAATAAATTGTGCAATGTATTGTTTGTGTCCGCATTATTTAGATTATTTTTGTTTTTTGTTTTATGCTTTAAAATGTCAGTATTTTCAATGATAATTTTTACTCAAGTCATTTTTACTTTCAGAATATAGATTTGAATATGAAAGTGAGCCACTCTCACACACCAAACAAACTGGATTCGAACGTCAACCTGAAATTTGTCCCCTACCTGGCAAATACAGTGGACGCAAAGGTCAGCCTACAGGACAAAAGCAACAAGCTGATGAGCTACGTGGGCCAGGCCAACTTGGGAATTATGGGCAAGAAATTTGCCCTCAGCACTGACCTGACTCAGAAGTCACCAAGACATTTCCAGCATGTGATTGATGTACAAGATTTCAACGGAGGCAGTCATTCAGCAAGTACAGTGTACAAAGTGCCAAGCTCCAATGGACATGAGGTGACCTCTGACATTAAGGTCAGTGGCTACAAGCCAATCCAGCTCCAAGGAAAGACGACCTTTGACCCTTTGAACTTCCAGGCTTCTGGCAGTGCTGCCTGCGGCAAAGATGTTTACAATGTGTCCACACAGACAAAACTGACCGATGCAGTCAAGAAGATCAACTTGGAGCTCTTGTATCCCAATCGGCAAATTGTAGCTGAGGCAGAAATAAAAAATATTAAGGATAAAGTTACAGGAAGTGTTATGGTTGACTTGGACGCCAGCAGGAATGGCAAAAGTAAAGTCTCTGTTGAGGGGTCGTACAGGAACACAGCAAGTTGGGACTCCAAAGTCGTCAGTGGGTCAGTGAACGTGAAAACACCATTTGCCAGGTTGGAAGACCTCAGTGCTGATGCCAGCTACAACAGCGATTCTTCTCAGTTCAGCTCGAAGGGGAAAGTTTCCTGGGGTGGAAAAGAAAACACTGTGTCTTCAAGTGTGGTTGTCAAACGACCTCTCTCCTGGCAAAATGCTGAGATCACATTGTCAGTGACCTCCCCTTTCAAACAGTACAAGGAAATGGAACTGGAAATTAATCACAAGATACAGCCAGTTTTTGCATCGTCTGTAAAAGGGAAAGTAGACAGCAATGAGGCACAGTTGGTGGTCAAAGGTGAAAACAGAGGAAGTGGATACAATCGGGACTTTTATGGGTTTGTGGAAATGAAAACTCCTTTTAATGCACTCAGAGATATCGGTCTCTCTTTAGAACACAAAGATAATGGCAGGGCATTTAAAACTGTTGGCTCATTGGGACACAACAGCAAGAAGTTTGGTGCTGATCTGCAGGTTGACCACAACAGCAATTGGGACAGCACTGTCAATACAGGAAATCTGTTGCTTACTTGGCCTGGAGATCAGCTACACACAACCTGGCAACACAATCTAGTGGGAACCACTCAAATCAAGAGCTCACTTGAATCAACTTGGAGCGGTAGCAAACGTGTGTTTGTCAATCTGGCAGGTTCAAATAATGTGGAGAACAATGTCAGACATGTCCTGGCAACTGTAAACGCTGAGACACCCTGGAGAAGCAACAAAAACATCTTTGCCAAGTTCGACACCAAAATGGGATCAGGCAGGTATGAAAGCTCAGTTTCTGTACTCAACAACAGGTTGGAGACCATTGCATACAACGTTCTCTTGGAGAGCAAACCCTCTTCCGGAAGTGCTTTGTTTATGTTAAGGACACCTCTATACGATCAAAAAATTCATGGCCAGACAGAAGTGAACTGGAACACTTACCCAGCAACGGCTTCTGCTTGGCTTGAATGGGCTCCCTGGGCTCGTATAGATTTTGAAGGCTCCCTTAATGCCCCATCTGTTGATGATCTTGAACTGAACACCAGACTAGTAACTCCATTTAAAAACTTTGAGAATATAATTGCCAGGGCTTCCCACAAACTCGAGGCTGCTGAGTATGTCTCTACAGCTACTGTTAACTACGGGGTGAGAAAGACTATGGACTTTGAAAACAGGTTCCAGTACGATGATGATATCAAACTGTTCCGCACAAAACTGACCTCCCCTTGCCCTTACCTCAAATCTCTTAATACCGGTCTGAAACTAAGCACTCTCTCAAACAAATTTGAAGGAAGTGTAGACTTCGAACTCCAGCCATTTGTGATGAAGTATGATGGCTTTACCACTTGGAACTATGATGTAGACAACTGGAATGCGAAGCTGCGATTGAATACCCCTCTAAAACAAATGCCGTATTATCAGGTCATTGCTTGGAGCAAGAAAAGCCCAGATTCCCTGAGAGTATCTCACATTGATATCCAGCCATCCTATTACGGCATGTACAGCATGGATAACTCCTACAGGCTCAGTTCACTTCCCTACCAGCTAGACATCACTCTTAAGACACCTCATCAAGGCTATGAGACAGTTGGCTTGTCCAGCTTGTACGACCCAACAGAGACATCCCTGCAGTCCAGACTCCGTGTCAACTACAAGTCTAACAAAGAAGTTGATTCGCATTTAAAGTTGGACTGGAAAGATAATTATGAAGGCAGCCTGTTTGTGAACACACCATTTAGTGGATATGAAAACAACAAAATTCTGGCCCGACATGACATCACTAGCCGTGGTTTTACCTGTCATGGGAAGCAAGTGTTGGGGGAAAGAATACCCAGGGTGACCTAGTCTACACGTCACTACCATCAGTTACTTCAGCTAGTGTGATTTTGCTCACCCCTGTCTCAGGTTATGAGACACTCTCAGGAAACTTCAGTCTAAGAGGACCATTGAACAAACTGAGGGGTGATGCTTCCCTTGGTTTCGGAACCAACACTTTGTCCACAACCTTTACCAACACCCTGAGCCTTGGCCTCCTGAAATCCAGCATTGCCATCTACACTCCATACACTCAGGACCTGAAACTGGCGGTCCAGCACAAAGATAGCAGTAGTCCCAGGGAAACCAAGCTGGACTGCAGTTTTACTGGACAGTATGGTGACCAGAGCGTGGATGGCCGGTTGGGGCTAGCTTATGAAGGCTTACAAAAATCTAAGGTGGACCTTGCCTTGAAACACACCAATCAACTCAGGTCAACTGACTGTTGAAAGTGCTGTCAACTCTGACAGTGTTTCCGGAAAAGCCTCAGTCCAAACAGACATCTCTTCCATGGGAAAAATCGAAGTCAGTTTTGAGAAAAGTGGACCCTATGAGAACATGGTGGCCACTGCTGCCTTGGCCAGAAACCAGGAAGATTTGGCTTATACTCAGGTGGAAACCAGCACCCCAGGTGGTAACCTCTATGGAAAGGTTGTTACAAAAGGAAGATGGATGCCACAACTGACCACAGAGGTGGAACACAAGGGAAGTTACTCTGACTTCAACACCAAAGTAAAGCTTAATGGTAAGGATACGGATCTGGACAGTGAGCTCGTCTTCAAGAATGAGGATTCTGAAATCAATGTTAATGGTAATGTCAATTACAAATTTGACTCTGAAAAGCACACTCACTCATTCTCCATCCACAAGGAAGGGACATGGAATGACTTTAAAATAGACCTGACTCAGAAACTGGATGGTGATGAGACAACTGCTGTGGTACAGTTTGAAGCCGAGAACCAGATCAAGGGTCTTGCTGAGGTGAATAATTTGTTTGGCATGTATGATAAACTCGGTGTAGAGTTTGAACATTCTGGTGACTTGGAAAAGTTTATCACCACTGGCAAAGTCACCCTCGGTTCCACGCAGGCTGTTTCTGGGAAAGTCAACTTTTATAGATACAATTTCCAGCGAATTGAAGCCTCAGCTGAACTGAGCACCCCTTGGCAAGATTACCGATTCTCCAGGTTGAGTACAGACACGAAGGACAGAATGGCAGAATAAGCTGCAGCCTGAATGTTCAGTATGGGGACGGCAAGAAGTTTAGCTCAGATTTGGTGCAACAGTGTTCTCCCTCAGCCCATAGCTTGTCTCTGAACATCAAAACCCCGCTCCAAGGCTATGAAGAAATTATACTGTCTGGAGATGTTGATGACAGCAAGGCAAATGCCAAAGCAATACTGGGTGATGACTTGGAGTTTACAGTAACAGGAGTTCATGACATCAGCACTGCTCCCTACCTGGTGCGGTACGAGATCAGCACCCCACTGGATGTCCTGAAGAAGTTTTCCATTGCTCTCAAAGGACAGCCACTTGATGGCAGCATTGACGTGAGTCTGCTATCGCTGCAGAAGAAGATTGAGGGGAATGGAGCTCTGCAGTTCACTGGTCCTTATAAGCTGAGCCTCTCCACAGAAGTCAGCAGTGATATCGAGGGTTGGCAGCTTCTGCAGGTTAGAGTTCAGAATGATGACGATGCTCTCAAAGGAAAGACTACTCATCTGCTGGTCAGCTGGGACCCTACACAACAGGTTAGTGCACTCTACTGCTTGTATAGTTGTTGGTTGTTGGTACCTTTCCTCCACACCCCCCCCCCCCCCCAGATAATAGTGTTTTCCGTGTAGGTTCTGGAGTGTTTCCTGTGTGGGTTCTGGAGTGTTGCCTGTGTGAGTTCTAGAGTGTTCCCTGTGTGGGTTCTGGAGTGTTTCCTGTGTGAGTTCTGGAGTGTTCCCTGTGTGAGTTCTGGAGTGTTTCCTGTGTGGGTTCTGGAGTGTTGCCTGTGTGAGTTCTAGAGTGTTTCCTGTGTGGGTTCTGGAGTGTTTCCTGTGTGGGTTCTGGAGTGTTCCCTGTGTGGGTTCTGGAGTGTTTCCTGTGTGGGTTCTGGAGTGTTTCCTGTGTGGGTTCTGGAGTGTTGCCTGTGTGAGTTCTGGAGTGTTCCCTGTGTGAGTTCTGGAGTGTTACCTGTGTGAGTTCTGGAGTGTTCCCTGTGTGAGTTCTGGAGTGTTACCTGTGTGGGTTCTGGAGTGTTCCCTGTGTGGATTCTGGAGTGTTCCCTGTGTGAGTTCTGGAGTGTTCCCTGTGTGAGTTCTGGAGTGTTACCTGTGTGAGTTCTGGAGTGTTCCCTGTGTGAGTTCTGGAGTGTTACCTGTGTGGGTTCTGGAGTGTTCCCTGTGTGAGTTCTGGAGTGTTCCCTGTGTGAGTTCTGGAGTGTTCCCTGTGTGAGTTCTGGAGTGTTACCTGTGTGAGTTCTGGAGTGTTCCCTGTGTGGGTTCTGGAGTGTTACCTGTGTGGATTCTGGAGTGTTCCCCATTTGGATTCTGGGGCCCCATAGTGGGGTGGAGGAGTTGAGAGAAAAAGAGACCCACAACCCCTGTATGAAACATGTCGTAAGATTTGACTGACTAGGGGCATCTCCGTGAAAGTCGGAGTAATCTGCCTGTGAGGCGAGGAACCAGCAGTCTGCATACAAATTAGCCAGATCTATAAAATAGATGTGCACACAATACTCAAGTTCTGGAACAAGACTAAAGTCAAGTAGTGGACAAACAACCAGAACTTTCTGCTGGAGTTTACAGCTGGTAAACATGAAGAAGAAAAAGAAGATAGTATTGCATACTGTGTTGTAAAGATGTATACGAATCACAGCAAGTCTAGGAATGAAGTTCTTCCTTTCCATAGCACAAATCATGGGCAGTATGGTAGAGACCATGGTTTGTTAATACATCCAATAGAAGCAGTTAAACAAGTTAGTTGTGTATCCTTTGCGGTCAAACAAGTTAGTTGTGTATCCTTTGCAGTTAAAAAAGTTAGTCGTGTATCCTTTGCAGTTAAAAAAGTTAGTCGTGTATTGTTTGCAGTTAAAAAAGTTAGTTGTGTAACCTTTGCAGTCAAACAAGTTAGTTGTGTATCCTTTGCAGTTAAAAAAGTTAGTCGTGTATTGTTTGCAGTTAAAAAAGTTAGTTGTGTATCCTTTGCAGTTAAAAAAGTTAGTTGTGTATCCTTTGCAGTTAAAAGGGTTAGTTGTGTATCCTTTGCAGTTAAAAGAGTTAGCTGTGTATCCTTTACAGAATGTCGCAGAACTAACTCCAGCATTTATTAGGCTGTTGTGGTTTTTTTTCTAGGCAAATTTCATATGAATTAGTTTGCTAGCATGCTTTCAGAGTCTGTTACAATTACGACACCTGTATGCATCTTGTCCTCTAGCCACCAGAGAGCTGCTGTCTCTAAGTGTGTAATTTTGCAATAAAGTCTCAAACCTCTGGTTACTTCTGCCCCATCACAGGTGGTGGTAGATGGCAGATACTTCTCCGGATCCTCACCCTGGGCAGCCAAGAAAGAGCATGTTCTGGAGCTGGACGTCAAAGTGCCCTTCGGACAGTACAGGAGTATCTCTGTAGACCTGGGCTGCAATACTGAACCAAGCAATGTCCAGTCAATGATCTCACTGGAAGTCAATCAAGATAAGGTACACCATCTTCTTCTTCTTCTGCTGCTCTTCTTCTGTTCCCTCATCTTCTCCTCTTTCCCTGTGGGTCCTGAGACCTCATTTAAGGAGGGGAAAAAGTATAGACATGCTGCTCCCATCACTTCCCTAATAGGCATGTCATAAAAGGCTGTCCACTGCCAATTTTGTTACATGTCCGAACCATTCGACAAGTCAGATGGTTTGGCCATGTAACCAGATAGGCAGGAGACAGGGTACCACAGAGAGCCGTGTTCTACAGATACAATGGTAACAGACCCAAAGGTAAACAATGCAGAAAATGGACCGCAGAAATATCAGAGACACTGAAAAGTTCTTTATACGAAGCAAAGAGAAGGGTGCATTCTCGAAGATCTCTTCCTGCCCTGATGTCGCAAGGGTTCCCGGAGGAGAGAAAAGAAGAGAAGAAAGAAGAAGATAAAAGACTACTAATTAGGGGAGATATTTTGAAGTCGGAGTGTATCTGCCTGAGATACAAGGAAGTAATTATGCATACAAATAAGCCAGATATGTTGAATGTTGACTTTAGAATCTACATCACAGCACTCAGGAACCCCTATAAGCGATCTATCCCCATCTTCATCAAAAAGTGAAGAGTTCTGATGGTATCAGTAACTGTCTGACTCAATATCTGTCTCACCTTTTCCCTGAGTGTTGAGCGCTGGGTGTTGAGCGCTGAGCGTTGAGCCCTGAGTGTAGAGGGCTGAGTGTTGAGCGCTGGTCAGATCCCCTTGTAACTCCTCGCAGCACCATTTCCGTCAGACCGTAGGGATCTATCTGTAAGCCAGATATGAAAAACAGATGTACTCAGTGATCTATCTGTAAGCCAGATATGAAAAACAGATGTACTCAGTGATCTATCTGTAAGCCAGATATGAAAAACAGATGTACTCAGTGATCTATCTGTAAGCCAGATATGAAAAACAGATGTACTCAGTGATCTGTCTGTAAGCCAGATATGAAAAACAGATGTACTCAGTGATCTGTCTGTAAGCCAGATATGAAAAACAGATGTACTCAGTGATCTGTCTGTAAGCCAGATATGAAAAACAGATGTACTCAGTGATCTGTCTGTAAGCCAGATATGAAAAACAGATGTACTCAGTGATCTATCTGTAAGCCAGATATGTAAAACAGATGTACTCAGTGATCTATCTGTAAGCCAGATATGTAAAACAGATGTACTCAGTGATCTATCTGTAAGCCAGATATGAAAAACAGATGTACTCAGTGATCTCTCTGTAAGCCAGATATGAAAAACAGATGTACTCAGTGATCTATCTGTAAGTCAGATATGAAAAACAGATGTACTCAGTGATCTATCTGTAAGCCAGATATGAAAAAACAGATGTACTCAGTGATCTATCTGTAAGCCAGATATGAAAAACAGATGTACTCAGTGATCTATCTGTAAGCCAGATATGAAAAACAGATGTACTCAGTGATCTATCTGTAAGCCAGATATGAAAAACAGATGTACTCAGTGATCTATTTGTAAGCCAGATATGAAAAACATGATGTACTCAGGGATCTATCTGTAAGCCAGATATGAAAAACAGATGTACTCAGTGATCTATCTGTAAGCCAGATTTGAAAAACAGATGTACTCACAAAACTCAAGTTTTGGAAAAAAAACAAAGTCCACAAGTGAACAAGGACAAGGACTTTCCACCGGGGTTAACATCTGGTGTGTGCTAGACTTGTTTGATTTTGTGAGGGCCCTTTGGGCACGGGTAAACAGTGCGGAGGTGGAGATAGTTCATTACAGTCTGAGGAGAATGGCGCTGCGAGGAGTCACCAGGGAATCTGGCTGATGCTCAACACTTAAGGAAAGGATGAGGAGGATATACAATCAAATGGTTACTTATACCCACAAATTGGACCCTGAAACCCCTATGGTGAAATGATGATCCAGAACTGTCATGTTTATATCCTCTAGCTGATTGACTTAGATGTGACTTATGACAAGAGCAGCAAGTACGAATACTCCGCCATTATCCGCAAGCCTTGGCCTATGGAGTACACTTACAGCTACCAGTATGACGACTACATGAAGGAGGGCGATGTTTTTGTTAGCTGGGACAGGTATTTCCTTGACTGTGTTTTGTTTGTTTGGACATCTTGTAGATCATGTGTTAGCTGGGGCAGATATTTAATTGACTGTGTTTTGTTTGTTTGGACATCTTGTACATCATGTGTTAGCTGGGACAGGTATTTTATTGACTAAGCTTTGTTTGTTTGGACATCTTGTGCATCATCAGTTTCATAATTATCTCTCAGTCAGTGAGTCAGTCAGTTAACCCATTCTGTCCCAAGTAACACCTCATGTATTCACAGTACTTGTCTCTGTGTATCAATGCAGTGCATGGTGTAAGTAAACTAAAGACCCTTTTCCAGATGTTGGGTGTAGAGTATATATTAGGCATAGAGAGCTAGAATTATATTTTACAGACCAATCAGCACTTGGTGGCTGTTGTGGTCAGCATCATACTGGCCACCTTTATGTCCCAGAACTGTACCCATTTAAGGCTGGGTTGACCTGGGAGCCAAAGTTATTTAAAAAAAAAAAATGGTGTATTAATATTTATTTCATGTTGGGTCTTGGTACGCAAAAAAAAAAAATCTGGCCAAATATTTTCAAAATGCAGCTCTGTATATGATATAGCTTTGAAAGTCATACACTGATGATTTTATTTATTGTGATTATTGTGCCAAATTGAGTTTCTACTTTGAAATCATCTGGGAATTAAAGAGTTAATAAACTGATCAATCACAGTGCACATCAGAGAAGTCCATAAATGCTCTGATCCCATCCTCAGCATCTCCCTCAGCCTGTGGCGACTGAAAATACCAGTTCTGTGTTGGTTTACTGTTCTTCTTTGGCAACATGAAGATTCGCCCTCTTCTCCTGAATCATCTACTCGTCTTGCCTCCTTGAGAGCACTGAGAACAAGGAACTAAAAGGGACATACTATGTCCTACAAGAGACATACAACATCCTACAAGGGACATACAACATCCTAAAAGGGACATACAACATCCTACAAGGGACATACAACATCCTACAAGGGACATACAACATCCTACAAGAGACATACAACATCCTACAAGGGACATACAACATCCTACAAGGGACATACAACATCCTACAAGGGACATACAAAGTCCTATAAGGGACATACAGCTAATTCTATATCCACCATTTTAACGAACTGCCAGCTTCCACCCCCCTTCCCGCAACATGATGATGATTTTGTTGTTGTTGACATCTCCCTCCATGTTCAACATTGTTCTGTTTGTCTCCTAATTTGTCTGTTATTCTGCCATCTATAAATTTCCTGATAACCTCTCTCAGAAATGACCCTGCTAGCAACATCCGTATCAAGAGCACCATGCAGTACCAGCCATCCAACAACGACAGATCTCTGACTTTTACCTTCTTTGGACCTACTCGAACAGTCGGAGTGGAACATAGTCTGTCTAGCTCTACAGATAAACTGACCAGGTAAACTTCAAAGCTTTAGCTTTTTTTTTTTTATTGTAAAAAAATTTTCAGGTAAAATGTATAGATTTCACTATTTTTTTCTCATTTGGGTTCCGAGGCACCATTTTTGGGGGAATAAAGAAGACACTACTGTGGCAAGCATGTCATAATGGTGACTACTTAGAGGTGTATCTGCCTGGGAGACTAGGAACCAACAGTCTACACACAAGTAACCCAGATCTGTAAAACAGATATAGTTACATGCAAAAACTCAAGTTCTGTAACAAGACTAAAGTTAAGAAGTGAACGAACAACATGAACTTTCTGCCAGAATTTACAGCTAGTGAATGTGAAGAAGAAGAAGATATACATACGCATGTATTGTTTTTATGCTCTGTGAATAAATTATTCAGGTAAAATACATATCTAATTATTTTAGTTCTGTGAACAAATTATCCAGGTAAAATACATATCTAATTATTTTAGTTCTGTGAATAAATTAACCAGGTAAAATATATAACTGAAGATTCTACCTCACTGTCAATAAAAGCATTTATAATTATTAGATTTGTGTGATATTTTAGATTAAAGGTAATATAATAGTTATCCTATGAGACTGAAGGTAATTTAATTGTTGTCCTATAAAATAGAAGGTAATATAACTGTTGTCCTATAAGATTGAAGGTAATATAACTGTTTGTTGTCCTATAAGATTGAAGGTAATATAACTGTTGTCCTATAAGATTGAAGGTAATATAACTGTTGTCCTATAAGATTGAAGGTAAAATAACTTTTGTCCTATGAGATTGAAGGTAAAATAACTTTTGTCCTATGAGATTGAAGGTAAAATAACTTTTGTCCTATGAGATTGAAGGTGATATAATTGTTGTTCTGATACAGCTCTGGGAAACTCTTCTGGGACCAGGACGATAAGAGCAAGGTGTCCTATTCCCTGGACATCAACACCAACAACCGCAGGAGGGATCTCTCTTACAGTGGTGACTTCAAGCTGGGCTTGCCCAGCCGAACATTTGGTCTGTCTGGATCTGTCAGGTAAGCATGTTTACTTTTAAGTCCCACAGGGTTTAGCAGCAGAGGCCCAAGCTTGGTAAAGAGAGACGTTTTATCAGCACATCTTGTGTTCATTGGGCTTCTAAATAGGAATCTGCGAACATATGATTTGTTCATTGGGCTTCTGTGTAGGAATCTGTGAACGTATGATTTGTTCATTGGGCTTCTGTGTAGGAATCTGTGAACGTATGATTTGTTCATTGGGCTTCTGTGTAGGAATCTGTGAATGTATGATCTGTTCATTGGGCTTCTGTGTAGGAATCTGTGAATGTATGATCTGTTCATTAGGCTTCTGTGTAGGAATCTGTGAATGTATGATCTGTTCATTGGGCTTCTGTGTAGGAATCTGTGAACGTATGATTTGTTCATTGGGCTTCTGTGTAGGAATCTGTGAACGTATGATCTGTTCATTGGGCTTCTGTGTAGGAATCTGTGAACGTATGATCTGTTCATTGGGCTTCTGTGTAGGAATCTGTGAATGTATGATCTGTTCATTGGGCTTCTGTGTAGGAATCTGTGAACGTGTGATCTGTTCATTGGGCTTCTAGGTGGAAATCTATGAACATATGATCTGTTCATTGGGCTTTTAGATAGGAATCTATGAAGGTATGATTTGATCAGTGGGCTTCTGTGTATATGTTTGTGAAAATTACTGCTACATTTTAATCCTTTTTTGTCTGGTGCTGTTGTTTCGGTAACATATTTTGGTTTGGTTTACCCAATGCGGCACTGATGTAGAAAGGGGTCCTTTGCCTATTTGTAGTGGATGACTTTCATTGCCAACGTATATTTCCATAAGGGCTGTCTCTCACAACTAGAATCTGCTGACTGTTCACGTAAATGTTACATAGTATTTTGTATAGATATCACAGCCTAGCTGTAAACAACATTACAACATTCCTGTTTTAAGGAGGAATGGAGAAGACAGTGTGTGTATAGTTTCTAAGACGGACTGTTTATTTCTTGTCTGGCTTCTTTGTTTGTCATGATGAACATGGACAGATTATCTAACACCATTTGGCCTCCACAGCAACAATGACTTGGCCAGGACAGCAGACGCAGCCTTCAGCTGGGACCTGAGCAACGATGACAGCAAACGTGTGGAAGTCCAGGTCTCTGTGTCAGGACAGGAGTACACTAAAGCAGACATCACTTTTAAGCTTCCTTCAGTAAGTTGACTTTAGTCTTCTGTTCCATCTTTCCTCTGTCAAGCTCCATTCAGTAAGTTGATTTTATTCTTCTGCTCCTTTTTGTCCTCTCTTAAACTTCCTACAGTAAGTTGATTTTATTCTTCTGCTCCTGTTTTTCCTCTCTTAAACTTCCTACAGTTAGTTAATTTTATTCTTCTGCTCCTTTCATTCTTCTTTCAAGCTCCATTCACTAAGTTAATTTTATTCTTCTTCTCCTTTCATTCTTCTTTCAAGCTTCATTCAGTAAGTTAATTTTATTCTTCTGCTCCTTTCATTCTTCTTTCAAGCTCCATTCACTAAGTTAATTTTATTCTTCTGCTCCTTTCATTCTTCTTTCAAGCTCCATTCACTAAGTTAATTTTATTCTTCTTCTCCTTTCATTCTTCTTTCAAGCTTCATTCAGTAAGTTCATTTTATTCTTCTGCTCCTTTCATTCTTCTTTCAAGCTTCATTCACTAAGTTAATTTTATTCTTCTGCTCCTTTCATTCTTCTTTCAAGCTTCATTCAGTAAGTTAATTTTATTCTTCAGTTCCTTTCATTCTTCTTTCAAGCTTCATTCACTAAGTTAATTTTATTCTTCTGCTCCTTTCATTCTTCTTTCAAGCTCCATTCAGTAAGTTGATTTTATTCTTCAGTTCCTTTCTTTCCTCTCTTGAGCTCCCTACAGTAAGTTGATCTTCTTCTGCTCCTTTCTTTCCTCTCTGGTTTTATGTTGAGCAAATCAGCCATTTGGTGCTGACTGGTCTATAAAAATCATCTCACATCAAATGCCTGATTTAAAAAAGGTCTTTCACTTACTTTACTTATCCATTTCAGACTGGGTCGACCCATAAGTCAAGGTTAGTTTTTTTTAAATATACTCAGAGAACACATAACCAGTGCCTCGTTGCTCCCTGCTTGCAAGTGAATACAGAATCATTATCAGTCAGCAGGTCCTTTACCAGTGTTGCCACTTTTCTTTGACAAAAAACATCCAAAACTGAGTCAAAAAATATCTACAAACATCTAATGAAAAATATCTAGAAAAAACATCCAAATGGAAAGAGTCACAAATTACATAGCAAGTGACATGACTTACCCTATAGAATCATGTCCTCATCTTTACTGAAGTCTGGCTTACAAGATCCACAGGATAAACTTAGCTTGGATGATGAAGTTGAAGCTTCAAATCCAAAATGACTGGTATTTTTTTAGCTGTTCTAATTTCTTTTAATACCTAACCAGGGAGCTGATAAGTGGAACAGCCTTTTTCTACTCCTATCAGGCCAAATTTTATTGTCAAGATAGCATTTAAGAGGTCCAATTTCATCCTGTTTCTTAGGTTGATTTGATAAATTTACTCCAAATGAAAACATCTAGACTAGAAAAACATCTACCATCTAAATGTTGAAAATGCCATCTAAATGCAAGGGAAAATATCAAAATCTCGATGTAAAACATCTAAAGTGGCAACACTGTCCTTTACAGAAGGTTGCTCTGTTCACAGCACGTCTGAAAGCATCCCTTTGATCCCTTGACAGGTCTGGCTTATTTATCTGCAGCTTAATTGATTCCTCCCCTCTTAAGCAGACACACTCTGACTTGAACGAAGGAAGGTACCAAACTAGTTGCCTTTGAATACAGAATACTGTTGTATCTCCCTGGAAATCTGTGTCCAGTCTCTTGTATGATGTATAAATTTGGGATTTTAATGAATTCTTTCAGCAAGACCTTCAGGTGAACAGCGCACTTATTCTCAACCAGGGCAACACTATCATCGATGGCAAGACTGACATCTCCTACTCCAGCGAGTCTCGGAAAACTCTGACCTTGTTCTCCAAGCTGAGAAACACTCCAGCAAAGGCCTACAGCTTCTTCTCTGGCAGTGGCAATAGTTTCAACTACAGGTAAGCTTAGTGTATTGAGAATGGAGAGTGAGAAGCAACAATCATCTTCTTTTTCTTCGCGTTCACCGGTTGAAAACTCCGGTGGGCAGTTCTGGTTGTTCATCCACCTCTGGACATTAGTCTTGTTCCTAAACCTGATTGTTGCAGGCACATCTGTTTTACAGATCTGACTTACTTGTTTCCAGATTGTTGGTTCCTTGCCTCTCAGGCAGATGCACTCCAACTTCGAAGGAAGATCTGGTTGGTCAACTCTTACGACATGCTTGCTGTGGAGGCAGTGGGTCTATTCTTGTTCTCTCCACACTAGGGTCCCGGAACCCATATGGGGAAGAAGCAATAATGAAAGTCATCTTCTTCTTTTCTCTACATCTGGAATGCCTTGCAACCTCAGAGCAGGAAAAGATCTATGCCACAGGCTCTTCTGTTAGCTTCATATAGTCTACTTTTCTCTACACCTGGAATGCCTTGCAGCGTCAGAGCAGGAAAAGATCTATGCAACAGGCTCTTCTGTTAGCTTCATATAGTCTAATTTTCTCTACACCTGGTTTGCCTTGCAGCGTCAGAGCAGGAAAAGATCTATGCCACAGGCTCTTCTGTTAGCTTCATATAGTGTACTTTTCTCTGTGTCTGATATTTCTGTGGTCCATCTTCTGCGTGGTCTACCTCTGCTCTGTTACCGCTGTGTCTGTAAGAAATTGATAATCTGATCATATCACCGCTGATTGCCGGCATCATCAGAATCAATAGACTTAACTAATTAGAGCATTTAAATAGAATGGCATGCATGCAAGAACTGAATGGTCATAGACCATCAGGCAGACCAAGATAAATATTGAATGAATGTTGAATTAAGAATCAACATCACAGTACTCAGGACACTCCCATAAGTGCTCCATCTCCCATCTTCAGCAGCAAGCGAAGAGTTCCAATTCCAATGGCAACAGTAACTGTTTGAGACCAAGAAGATGGTGAAGTAATAAACACTTAGAGCCACCAATTGAAAAACAAAGAAGGCCAATCACAGAATGAATGAATAAACAAACTTTATTTTCAAAGGATCACAAATTGGGCACACAGGCCTGTCTTACATTTGGTCCTTCTAAACTCTCATCTTTCACACAGCAGTTGTATTTAATCAATAAAGTGTGACACAGTTGTGTCTTTCACATCCGCCAAGAATAGATGTGCCTAATTCGGATACCCTAGATACTGGTTGTAAGTTGATTAATTGTGTTTAACAACACAGCCAGTGATGAAACAGTCGAATGTTGTAAGTTGATTAATTGTGTTTAACAACACGGCCAGTGATGAAACAGTCGAATAATTATAAGATTGTTTATTCAACAATATCCTGTCAAAAGGAACATTTCATTTTATGCAACAGTATAACATTCTAGTATCTTATTACTGGCTCTTCATATGTCTGACGACCACAGAGATAAGTGGAGGCAGGGGATATCAATAGCAATAAACTTCAAGGAATGCTGAGGAAGAAGAAGAAGAAGAATATCCTTGCACTGGAACACACAGGTGAAAGAAATAAGGGGAGAATTAAAAACAGATTACGGGGTGAGGGTTCTAGTGCTCCATTTTGGGAGGAGAAAGAATAGATCCACTGTTCGACTAATGAGTATGTCATAATGGGGCGACTAATTTGGGCCCTTTCTTCCTTCAAGACAGAGGATGTCTGCCTGAGAGGTGAGGAACCAACCATCTGCATACAAATAAGACAGATCTGTAAAACAGATGCACATGTAAAACATGTTCTGGAATGAGACCAAAGTCCAGAAGTGGACGAACAACCAGAATTTTCTGCAAGAGTTTACGGGCTGGTAAACAATTAGAATAAAAAGAAGAAATTTAAAAACAAATCAACTACAGGTACAGTTAGTATAACTAGAAAGTCCTTGGCTTGGAACCAGCAAAGCGAAATAATAGAATAAAATCTTAAACAGTGGCGGTGTTGCATGTGTCTGTATGGCATGAATGTGTGAGCCAGTGTAGTGCAGCAGCTAGATGCTCACCTGCGGATCTGAAGGTCATGGGCTCAAACCCTGACAAAGTTGGACGTTATTGAGAAATGACCTTGGCTCCCAGGGTGACCCAGCCCTTGCTCTTTCAGTCCCAGTGGATTTAACATCAGAGGACCAAGGGATGGTGATGCAAGATCAGTGCATTGTGCATTCACTGGACATCTAGGTGGGAACCCATGAACGTGTAATGCGTTCCTTGGGATAACAGATGAGTGAGTACCAGGTAATGTCCTGGGAAGTAAAGGCGGCCGGTGTGATGTTGACCACATCACACACCAAGTGCTGATTTGTCTATAAAATATAGATCTAGCCCTATATGCCCAATACACCTGAAGGAGTGGAAAAGGGCCTTTAAATTTTTTTTTTTTTTTTAATCATTTGAATGTAGTAATATAGTTGGTAAACTGAATATTCCAGTAATGGCACATAAACACAAATGTGACCATCAAAGAATTATGACTTCCAAATGTGACTGTCGAAGTTTTATGACTTCCAAATCTGACCCTCAAAGAATTATGACTTCCTGTATTCCACAGTATGGAGCTTGGCTTGAGCCACCCAGAGACTAAAGTGGACGTAAAGATCGACTCTCACCTAGCCAGCTCAGATGAGTTCCTGACTTCTTCCGTGGGTATCCGATACTTGACAGTCAGCAGACAGATGAAGAATTTGGCTTTGTTTACCGAGATTGATAAGATCCGCAAGCAGATCAGTTTTGTTGTGAGTACATAAGTGGATTCCTCAACTTTGTGATTTCTGCATGTTTTAACCCTACAAGACCTGAGTCCCTGAACCTAACTGCCTCCTATACCTGAGCTCCTGGGCATTAACGTGAAAAAACCCAACATGATAAATAAAAATATTAGTTACATGCAAACAAGTGGTTAGAATAAGATGAAACTTGGAGACATTGTGGTAAATAGGTTAATCTTTTATCTAGCGCAAAATTCCACTTTTGTGTGCTAAATCCCCCAGCAGGATCAACCTTGTTTCACAAAGTGAACACTAGATGTTGCTGTTTGAGGGACACCCCCTTTTCCTACTTTCGATCTATTTCTAGATTTATAATTTGCAAGATTCTCCTCATCATTCGAGCTCTCACTAACTGTGTCACTTCAACTGGGAATGTATTCTTCATGAAATTATGACTACGCAGAGTCTGAATCAACTAAAGTATCGATCACCTGTTGGACTGTGAAAAGCCTAAACCTACCTCACTTTCCTGTTGAAGTGCTTGGTTCATCAGCCACCCATTTTATTGTGAATTTTCAGAATTTTTTTCACGTAAAACAACACAATTTTTTTCCAAACACATGCGGGCACATCTATGAAGACTATCTACGAAATCTGATTACAATTGGCTAGTTATTTTTAGTTTGTGACTCATTGTTTTTTCATAATACGTATATTCCCGACATTGAGGGACGGCGGTTAAGCGGCAGTTTAGGAAATTCCTGTAATAGTGAGCCAGCTGTCTGGTAGAGTTAACTCTGCTTATTATCACCATGATTTTAAAACGCTTTAAAAAATAAAGTTTGTTCTTTGATGTTCATTGCCAAGAATTATAAATGTCAGAGCTCACTATCTCACATGATCGCCATAATCTGGAAAAAGTTCTGTGTCCTTCCACTAAAGCTTATTTCTTTTTTACTTCCTCTTCTTCTTTGTTCATCTGAGGACATAATAGCATGGTGTCTTTTACAGCATGGCTGCATATTTATGCCTTTAGGCCAGCAGATCAAACTTCTTTCACATATTTGTTGCCTGGCTGAGCCTTCGCAGTGCTTTTGCTGCATAGCCAAGTTATCCAGGTATTTATGTGTGTCTTTCCCCTTTTCTGGGTTTATTATTTTTTTTTTCAGACAGGAATCTAGATAGAATGAAAGTCTTGCGATCTTTATTTTTTCAAAATCTACAACAATATGTGTGTTTCTCAAATTCAGGATAGATTATATACTTCTCAGCCATTCCACCTGATTATATGTGTAGTTTTGTAGGACTGTGTGTACTATGTTTTTAAATATGACTTTTGTTTACATCCTAATTAGGCCTCAGGACCCTCCCAGAATGCTGGTGTCAGGGCAACAATCCTCAGTGAAGAGCCCCTAAGTCTAGTACTCTTGGGCTCAGTCAATGGCCAGGACAAGTTTAAGTCCACCCTTGATGTGGACCCAGACAGCAAAATGTTCAAGGTTGAAATTGGTAAGCGTTGCTAGATTTTATTGACATTTGATGCCATGTTAGTGTAGCTGGAGTTTAATTAATGCATTCAGTACATGAAGATTGGAGAGGATGAAGGAAGAAAGGGGTGGGGGGGGGGGGGATAATAATAACAACAAAGTCACATGAATTTTGTATTCACAGGGATCATGTGTGTGTGTGTGTGTGTGTGTAGTGTGTGTTATTATTAGAATTCCATAAACAATCGTTAACATTTTTGTTTACACATGTCACAGATTCATAAACAATGTATTTATGTACATGTGTTAATTTTTTTTCCTGAAACAGATACAAATATTTTGAAGATTTAATCAGGAAATGTGAACAGGGGGAAGCATTAAATGGAATACATTACCCAGGGTCTACCAAAAAAAAAATGTATTGGTGTTACCTCATGATATCTATCACTGAGGTTTACGGGAAAATTGTCAGCTTGCCTTTAAAAAAGCTATTTTCAGTTCATGTATTCATATCCTAACCTTCTAAACATTTGTGCATGCTGGGAAACAGCCAATAGTTGCATCTTGTAAACAGGTCACTGTAGACAAGTCAGAAAAGTGATATTTAAAGGGAACTGGATGTAACCAGATATGTTGGTTTTGTGGCTTCTCAAGTGAAAGAGTTAAGTGAACCAGATAGTGCACAGACTATATATATATTTATATATAAATACACATACCAAGTTTTTCTGTGTTAAAGACAACCAATCAACAACTAGAAGGAAAATTAACCTACAGAAAATATTTCTACGTTTAGGTCGTCTAGACAACCTTTTAAGCCTGAAATCCTACTACCCCAATAGTTCAGCAATCCAGGTAGAACTGCTCCACAAGAGAGACTACACCGACAACCAGGAAGCAGTAATTGGTCTTCGATTGTTGAATCCTCGCCTGCTTCACAGCCGCATCACCTGGAGGCCTGAAGCTGTAGAGGAGCTGAAGAACAGTGTGGCCCAGCAGATTTCTGAGGCTGGCCTGTTGGCTAAGAATACCTTGAGTCAGATGAACACAGATCTTAGAACAGAGGTTTGTCTGTTGTCTGTCATGGGAAACCATGTGCTTTGATTAATTTTCCCTCCATGTGGCTTCTAGGTTCCCTTTGTGGAGATGAAAAAAACAAACAAAAAGAACAGGCCCACACATTTCCTAACAAGCAAAGCATAATAGTTGGCTAATTAGAGGTTTCCTTCAAAGTCAAAGTGCTTCTGCCTGAGAGGCAAGGAACCAACAGTCTGCAAACACATACATCAGATCTGTAAAAGGGGTGTGCCTGCACAACTCAAGTACTGGTACAAGACTGAAGTCCAGAAGCGGACAGACAACAAGAACTTTCTGCCAGAGTTTACAGCCAGTAAATTGAAGCAGAAGAAGAAGAAGATTAATTTTTGTTTTGTCAGAAGATGTGATGGGTAAAAGTAATGCACATGAGTATGAAATTAGTTGCAGATAGATTGTCTGGTTCTGCGTCCTTGGCCAGTGAATTGGTGCATGCCCACTGGACTCCTTTTCTGCCATTGGTGCTGTGTGCATATGGTGCTTGACCTATGTTAAATAGTCCAAACTGGACATGATAGGCTATATCGTCACTATCAGGACAGCCAAATTTATCTTCTAGGACAATTCCTTGAACCTATTAATTTCTTGGTAATAGCTTGACCACAGTTACCCTAGTGTTGGCACTTTTCAGAGTGTATGAAAGATCCTTTAGGGTCTCCATTTTGGGTGTGAACAATGTGGGAGAGCAGATAGCTCATTGCAGTAGCTGGGACTCTTTTCATGCAAGATTGTTGCAGTAGCTGGGACTCTTTCCATGCAAGATTGTTGCAGTAGCTGGGACTCTTTTCATGCAAGATTGTTGCAGTAACTGGGACTCTTTTCATGCAAGATTGTTGCAGTAGCTGGGACTCTTTTCATGCAAGATTGTTGCAGTAACTGGGACTCTTTTCATGCAAGATTGTTGCAGTAGCTGGGACTCTTTTCATGCAAGATTGTTGCAGTAGCTGGGACTCTTTTCATGCAAGATTGTTGCAGTAGCTGGGACTCTTTTCATGCAAGATTGTTGCAGTAACTGGACTCTTTCCATGCAAGATTGTTGCAGTAACTGGGACTCTATTCATATAATTTTGTTTCCTCAGCTGTCTGGTAAATATGAGGTGGTAACAGCATCAGTTGGAGGAGATGTGAAACCACTGCTGGAGTATGTTGGGGATGAGCTGGAATCCTTTGCCACAGACTTGGAGAATGTTAAGAATAAGGTGAATGTGATGTACAGCAACAATGAGTTCTTCATCAAGGATATCAGCAATGCAGCCTACAACAACATTGAATATGTCTCCCAGAGCTATGGACTTGTGCAGTGAGTACAACCTTTGTTTTATTGTTATAAACTTGCTGTTTTGGGGCTCTTCATTGTCTGGTGTCTTGTTGACAGGGTTCACTGATCAGGCTTCTCTGAATCTTTGAGTCTCTAGTTATGCGTATCGCTTTCTGTGCTGATACCTATCCATTCCATGACAGGTGGCTTTATATACCATGACAGGTGGCTTTATATGCCATGACAGGTGGCTTTATATTCCATGACAGGTGGCTTTATATTCCATGACAGGTGGCTTTATATTTCATGACAGGTGGCTTTATATTTCATGACAGGTGGCTTTATATTCCATGACAGGTGGCTTTTTATGCCATGACAGGTGGCTTTATATTCCATGACAGGTGGCTTTATATGCCATGACAGGTGGCTTTATATGCCATGACAGGTGGCTTTATATGCCATGACAGGTGGCTTTATATGCCATAACAGGTGGCTTTATATGCCATGACAGGTGGCTTTATATTCCATGACAGGTGGCTTTTTATGCCATGACAGGTGGCTTTATATTCCATGACAGGTGGCTTTATATGCCATGACAGGTGGCTTTATATGCCATGACAGGTGGCTTTATATGCCATGACAGGTGGCTTTATATGCCATGACAGGTGGCTTTATATGCCATGACAGGTGGCTTTATATTCCATGACAGGTGGCTTTATATTCCATGACAGGTGGCTTTATATGCCATGACAGGTGGCTTTATATTCCATGACAGGTGGCTTTATATTCCATGACAGGTGGCTTTATATTCCATGACAGGTGGCTTTATATTCCATGACAGGTGGCTTTATATACCATGACAGGTGGCTTTATATTCCATGACAGGTGGCTTTATATACCATGACAGGTGGCTTTATATGCCATGACAGGTGGCTTTATATGCCATGACAGGTGGCTTTATATGCCATGACAGGTGGCTTTATATGCCATGACAGGTGGCTTTATATGCCATGACAGGTGGCTTTATATTCCATGACAGGTGGCTTTATATTCCATGACAGGTGGCTTTATATGCCATGACAGGTGGCTTTATATTCCATGACAGTTGGCTTTATATGCCATGACAGGTGGCTTTTTATGCCATGACAGGTGGCTTTTAATGCCATGACAGGTGGCTTTATATTCCATGACAGGTGGCTTTATATTCCATGACAGGTGGCTTTTTATGCCATGACAGGTGGCTTTTTATGCCATGACAGGTGGCTTTATATTCCTTCTTCTTCTTCTTGTTCACCGGCTGTGAATTCCGGCGGTAAGTCACGGTTGTTCGTCCAAAATGGACTTTTGGCTTTTACCTTGACCTGAGTTTTGCGTGTACATCCGTTTTACTGGCTTATTTGTTTGCAGTACTCGTTCCCCGCCTCTCAGGCAGATGTACTCCGACTTCGGAGGAGCTTTATATTCCATGACAGGTGGCTTTATATGCCCAACCACACAACACCAGACCAAAGCAAACTAAACCAGATCAGATAACATCAGATTAACTATATGACAAGGCAGACGTGGTCAAGGCCCTTTAGGAACAAACAAAAGAATCTGTAGAGAAACAAGATTATTATAGCCTGAAAAGAATAAGGCACCTGGGTGTAACCAGATTGTCTGGCCGGCTCACCACACTCCGAGGAAAGGCAAGAATTACCAGAATGTACCCGATACTGGCTGCTGAAGATGAGGACAGAGCAGGCATGGGAATGCCCTGAGTGCTTTGATGTCAATTCTTGACTCAACTCAACTCAACTCAGATCAACTAAAACTGATCCAGGCTTTAAAAAAAAAAAATATAAACAAAACAACCTCAGATGAACCCAAATGGTTCCAGACTAAAAGAGGATTAAAATAAACAGAAACAACACCAATCAGAACAGGATAAAGTCAGATCATGCCAGATAGAAAGAACCGAACCAATCCATTCCAGACAAGACCACATCAGGTCCTTACAAGACCAGACAATACCATTCCTCTGAGAGCTGTTATAAGTTTTCTCTCTTGTCTCCAGGGATAAGCTGCAGAACCTCATTGCCCTGTACAGAGATTCCTACTCCAGGATCATTGAGGAACTCCTGCAAAGTCTGGATCGTCTTCAGGAGTTCTCCATCTCAGATTCCTACAACCAGGTAGTCACAGATGGACTTCAGCGGGTGATGGAGATGCTTGATGCCAGAGTTACCTACCTTATTCAGCGATTGCGTGAGACCGATCTTAAAGTCCTGGAGAGTGCCCAAGCCCTACTATGTGAGTGTCACTGTTGTATCTGTTGGATCTGTGTGTCTGTCTCTGTATGTCTGTCTTCTTGGTTCACTGTGTGGCTCTTAGTGTCTGTCTGCTACTTGGCTGTCTGTAAGTATGTCGGTCAGTCTGCTCATTTGTCAGTCTGCTTTGCTGTGTGTATGTCTGTGTCTGCCATCTGTCTGCCAGCTTGGATCTCTGTTCGTCTCTTTTTGTCTTCTTGTTAATTTGTTTACTGATCTCTCTGTCTATATATGTCTGCCTGCTATCTGTCTGTCTACCTGGCTCTCTATAGATGTGTGTACTCGCCCATTCTTTGATGTCTGTGTCTCTCTGTGTCTGCCAACTTGACTCTGTTTGTCTCTCTTTGTCTACTTGTTCATTTATCTTCTTGGTTCTGTCTATGACTATATGTGTCATGCCCCAGTATAATCTTATGGCTGAATGGGGTTTCTTTGATTTATACCTTGGGGATTCTCATCTAAATGGTGACACTTTTGTTTCAATTGGTGTTAATCTCCCAGTTCGCTGTCCTAGTGGGGTTCAACTTCACTCACTCCCTCACTGACTGACTGACTGACTGACTGACTGACTGACTGACTGACTGACTGACTGACTGACTGACTGACTGACTGACTGACTGACTGACTGACTGACTGACTGACTGAATGACTGACTGACTGACTGACTGACTGACTGACTGACTGACTGACTGACTGACTGACTGACTGACTGACTGACTGACTGACTGACTGACTGACTGACTGACTGACTGACTGACTGACTCACTCACTCACTCACTCACTTACTCACTCACTCACTCCCTCAGTGACTGACTGACTCACTGACTGACTCACTGACTCACTCACTTTCTCACTGACTGACTGACTGACTGACTGACTGACTGACTGACTGACTGACTGACTGACTGACTCCCTGACTGACTGACTGACTCACTCACTTACTCACTTTCTCACTAACTGACTGACTGACTGACTCCCTGACTGACTGACTGACTGACTGACTGACTGACTGACTGACTCACTCACTCACTCACTCACTCACTCACTCACTCACTCACTCACTCACTCACTCACTCACTCACTCACTCACTCTGACTCACTCTCACTCACTCACTCACTCACACTCACTCACTCACTCACTCACTCACTCACTCACTCACTCTCCCTCACTCACTCACTCACTCACTCACTCACTCACTCACTCACTCACTCACTCACTCACTCACTCACTCACTCACTCACTCACTCACTCACACTCACTCACTCACTCACTCACTCACTCACTCACTCACTCACTCACTCACTCACTCACTCACTCACTCACTCACTCACTCACTCACTCACTCACTCACTCACTCACTCACTCACTCACTCACTCACTCACTCACTCACTCACTCACTCACTGACTTGCTCTCTCACTTACTCACTCACTCACTCACTCACTCACTCACTCACTCACTCACTCACTCACTCACTCACTCACTCACTCACTCACTCACTCACTCACTCACTCACTCACTCACTCACTCACTTCCTCACTTCCTCACTCACACACTCCCTCACTCACTGACTGACTGACTCATTCACTCACTCTTTTGCACACTCTTTCACTCACTCACTGAATGACTCTCTTCACTCTTTTATTCACTTACTCACTCACTCACTCACTCTTTCACTCACTGACTGACTCACTCACTCTTTTGCTCACTCACTCTTTTGCTCACTCTTTCACTCACTCACTGAATGACTGACTCTCTCACTCTTTTACTCACTCACTCACTCATTCACTCACAAATGTGCTTTTATCTCCACCAGCAAATGTAGGGGACCTCTACAACCACCCACGACTTGAGAGTATCCGGGAGAGAATCAACACACTCAGAAATATTGACTACGTTCATTACGCTCAGCAAATACACAACGCTGTGAGGGACAACATCGACTTGAATCAGTACTCTGATGTTCTCAATTATGTGAAAGAGGCTGCCGTCAATAGACTCATTCCTGAGAGTATGAGAGATGTGGCCGAGAGAGCTACCAATGAAATTTACCAGCAGGTGAGAATTCCTCCATTGTACAATAATTCTGGAGTTTACTTCTTGTCTTGTCCGGGGGGTTCACTGTAGTGAACTAGGTACCAGGCTTTTCTAGAGCTATGTGAAAGATGCTGCTGTCAACAGACTTATAGCTCAGAGTATGAGAGATGTGGCTGAGAGAGCTTCAATTCAATTTACCAACAGGTGAGAATTCCTCCACTGTACGATAATTCTGGTGTTTACTACTTGTCTTACGGTCATGATGGTGAGGCAACATCACGCATTTCTAATGTTTGAGCAACATAATCAGGAGCAACTTAACAGAAATGAACATCAACTTGTACAATTAATTGGAAAAAAGCACACAAATGATTCTTACATCTTCTCCCCAACACCTCGCTGAGGTCAAAGGTAGAAGTGAAGAAGAAGCAGAGGAACTACTTGTCTTGTCTGTGGGATCCCAATAATGAACAAGGTAGCTACTTTTCTTGAGCTTGCTGCCGGTCATGAGTTCAGCTCCCCTTCGAGATAGGAATTTTCTTCCATTGATTTGGCTAACCTGGTCAACTCACCCTAAACTGTATGCCAGGAAACTTCCTGAGAAGTAAAGCTATGTAATAATGTTTGATATAGTTTTTAATGTATTGTTTTATTTGTTTTCTTACAAATCATAGGGTATTAAATGTATCTTATTGCATGTTCTTCTTCTTCGATCCTTTTGACAGAAAAATTATATCAGGAGGCCGTTAGCCTTTATGAAAGCTATTGTGCAGTCCGTATCCTCTTGTGTACCATACAGTTTTGTCTTCATTGTGCCTGTGATATAGCTTTAATATCATTGTCTCACTAGACTCTGCATGTCTGAGGTTTCTTCTTTATGTTCATCCATACAAGAATTTCTGGTACATTGTGTTATGGTTTACAGTCAGGCTTCTTTCGACTAAACACATCCAAATTCAGCAAACCCCTAATTAGTTGCCCTTTAGGACATGCTTGTTGGGGAGTCAGGAGTCTATCTGAACTGGTGGTCTGGAACTGACATAGCGATATTTTATGTAGTTTTCCATTTATGACCTCTAGAGATTTGATGTTAAATGTATGTGATTACATCTAGTTATATCTGTTAGAAGAATTCATTCATTAGCTACATTACAATAAACTGTCACTGTAGTTATGCACCTGTGTAGGGCTGACTGAAAAGTTAAAGGGCTGGGCTCTCAAGCCAGAGACCAGGGTTCGATTCCTCAGTAAAGAAAGGGATTTTTGTTTTTTTGAGTGAGGGGCAATAATTAAAATCCTCATCTGCACAGTCTGAGGTGATAGTACTGTCCATGTGGCTCTAAATCCCACATAATGCAGTGGTAAATGCAGGCATTTCAAATTCTTCACGTAAGGCAATTGCAGAATCCAAAGATTTCTTGAAGTTAATTTCACCTACAACTGTGTAAACAAAAAGGCATGATTCCGACACTGCGGTTGACTTGGTAAAACAGGCAGTTGCGTTTGATTATTGTTGAATTTGTACTTCAGGTATAAAGGATTCACTTTTTTTGCTTCATTTATGTGATTGTTACTGTAGTATGCACCTGACGAGATACAGCGGAATGTGCAACTCAGTCAATTGTGCAAACTATTTTTTGTGTATTTTTTGATCAAATTCACAACGGAGAAACATTGCTTTGATTTTTGTTTGTGATTTGTCTCACCAGAGCCAGCTGGCTTACAAACACTGGAATGTTGAAGAGCTCCTCAACAAACACTTGGAGACTTCGGTTCAGCTGTTGAAGGACATCATGGAGGATGAACTGCGGGAGTATCTGAACTTAGTGTTAATGAGGACCCCTGTGACCGTCTTTGACCCAGTCCATGGGAGAATCGAAGCAAACTTTATCTTGCCTGTTGACATCAAGAGACTGGATGAAATGCCAGATTTGACTCCATTTATCCAGCAAGTCAGTGAGGCTTATCGAAAATATGCTCCGGATACGGATACAATCAGTCAAGTAAGTGGCATCTTTTAACTTCTCAAACAAAACCATAAAATAATGAAGATGATGACCCGCAATATTTGATTTCTCTGATGTGTATGTCTATGAGTTTCATAATGCTTCTCTTGTTATTGCCTAGCAAATTCTTGCATTTTGAGCATGCAGAGAATGGTGGAGACCAGTATACATGAAGACACCATGAAGAGTGTCAAGTATCACTTCAGAGGTCCATTTGGGTAATTTCCCCCTAGATCATGTCAGTGTATTAGGAAAGGAGCAGGCAGAGAGACTGGCTGGTTCTGCGCATGGCAAGCTAGATGTTGTAAGGGCCCTTTGAGGGTGAGTGAACAGTGCGGAAGCACAAATGGATCATCGTGGTCTGAAGAGAATGGTGCTGCGAGGAATAACCAGAGGATCTTGTCGGCGATCAGCACTCATGGGAAGGGTGGGATGGATATACACTCAGACGGCTTTTGGTGCCACTGGAACTCTATGCTTGCTGCTGAAGATGGGGATGGAGCGCTTATGGGCATGTCCCGAGTGCTGTGATGTTGATTCTTAATAAAACATGAAACATTATAAACATTCTTGTCTCTTTAGTGAAAGTCGGCTGCAGTATATCACCAACATTGTCTAGCTCCTGCTTCAAGCATTTAGATGTGGACGTTTATAAGTCTGTCAGAGTGTACAGCTAGTCTGGCCTTCCACTTGTATCACTGTCTGCCTTTTACTCACTGGCTTTGAAATGTTCCCTATAGTATGGTTTTTCATAAGAGTATTATGTCTTTTAATGTGACAAAAGTGTTTCAAAAATGTTTCACTTGTCTCTCTTTTTATTTTCTTCAAAAATTCTCTTTTCGGTTCAGTATCTCCTCAGAACCTCTACATTTCACTGTTTTTTGTTTCTATGAAAGATGGCCTTTTCTTTTATATATGTACATCTCCGGAGAATTATTTCAACTTTTTAATTGTTCTGAACCATCCATCAGGGCTGAATATACATAATAGTTGGTAATTTTTATTTTTAATAGGTTGTTTATCTCTCTAGTATGCTACTGTGGCGTAGTGGCTAGACCCGCGCCTGTGGATCTGAAGACTGTGGGTTCAGGTCCTGGCAGACCAGGACGTTTTTGAAATGACCTTAACTCCCAGGTCGACTCAGCCTTAAATGGGTAGCAGGTAAAGTCCTGGGAAGTAAAGGTGGCCAGCATGCTGTTGACCCCCATCCCCATCGAGTGCCGATTGTTGTATAAAATACACTGGGAAGGCTAAACCGGTCAAAAAATGCCCGCAGTAGTCGGATGTGTTGGCCGAAAGGTGCAAATATCGCAGCCATGCTGTAAACGGACACAACGCAATTACATCTTCAGATGAACACAGAAGAAGAAGAAGTATACAATACTGGTGGAGTGCTGTCTAGCCAGTACACCTGAAAGTGGGGAAAAGGCTCTTTTGCTTTACTTATCTTTGTACCTGTCAGTTGTTATGGTTATGGCTTTAGTCTTCCTCAAAGTTTCAGCTTCGCTGTAATCGGGTCAACCCCTGCTTGCTCCGTTCCTGTGCCAGTGAAAATTAAATGACCCTCACTGCCCCATTTGAAAAACACTGGTGAACAATTAATTAGCCCTGACCCATTCCAGAAATATACGCACACAGTAAATGCATAAAGCAGTTTCTAGAGGCACAAAGCCAACAGTTGCCACCAGAAGTGAAGTTTGTCTTTGATGGAAGTGTTCGGTCATGCTAAGTTGGCTCTACACCCATAAATTATTATTAAATAAGGTATTTTGCCAACTCACACGTAAACTGGTTATAGCCGGCCATACTGAATACCAAGACTCAACCGCTGCACAAATGAAGGCCATTCCACATGAAAAAAACAGCTCACAGTTCTGCACCAAGCACTTAACTCAGTAGCTTAATTGGCGTGGTGAAACTGTAGACATACATATGAAGAAACTGAATGAGCAAAATGCTGTCAGAAAATAAGTTTGAAAGTAAACATTCTGCAATGCTTAATCCTGTACATATATAAATATACTGGGCCAGAAGTTGATGGTTACATATCTTTCTGTAGTTCTATGCCAAGTCTGCTGCCATACTGATCTGTTTTATCTCATCTACAGTACTACCCCAGCTTCCTGCTCAGCAACAAGACTGAAGAGACAGTAGGAGAGGCTGATAATGATGCTGACGATGAACTGCTGGCCAACCTTGATGACTACCGCCCATCCAGAAATATCAATATTCCAAATGTTTCTCCAAATTAGATTTTTTTATGTTCAACTGGCATTAATGTAGCAGTCATTGTTATAACTGCCTGTAGAGATTTCATGCAATATTTATCAACGCCTGAAGGATTTGATGATTTCTCACCCCACCTTCATTTTAAATATACTGTGTCTGGAACTGAAAGCTATATATCCCACTTATAACCCACAAGGGTTGAACAGGATGTTATTGATATAAATACTTATACTTCAGTGTACACTTTGTGCACATATCGATCAATGCAAATATAAAAATGTGACCATTATATCCATGGCTTTGTAAGATTTTTTCTATATTATTTTTGCAATAACAAGATTGTTTCTTTATAAATTAGCTATAATAATAAATTATTTGATTTATATGTTTTGGGCACGTGTAATTATTTTTTTTAGGAGCACCTCCACAGTTTATTATTCCCTCCTCTTAACAAAATGTTTCCATAAACAACAGGAAAACTAGAATTCAACTAGCCATAGCAATAACATTGTCAGCATTTCAGTAACATACACTTACCAATGTCTTTAAACAGTTAACACACCCTGGTCGGCAGTTGATTTATTTAAACAGTTAACATCCCCTGGAGTCTAACTGGTTTAGTATACTCTGGTCTCTGGACTGCTTCATCAAAATAGTTAATATACCCTGGCTTGTAGTTTGTGAGTGTATTCAAAGAGTTAATATTCTTTCACTGCAGTTAACATTAAAACCCCCTAGTTTGTGTTAATTAGTCTAAACTGGTAGTTAGTGATACTCTGGTCTCAGTGGTTTTACTGCCAGTTAACATCAAAATAGTTAATATACCCTGGCTTGTAGTTTGTGAGTGTATTTAAAGAGTTAATATTCTTTCACTTGCAGTGAGTTTTGTGCTAACAGTTAATACCCCCTAGTTTGTAGTTAATGAGTTTTATCTAAACATTTAATATCCTCTGACTAGTAGTTAGTGAATTCTATGTAAACAGCTAATATTCTCTGGGTTGTAGTCAGTGAGTTTTATCTAACAAGTTAATATCCCCTGGGTTGTAGTTTGTGAGTTTTATCTAACAAGTTAATATCCCCTGGGTTGTAATTTGTGAGTTTTATCTAACAAGTTAATATCCCCTGGGTTGTAGTCAGTGAGTTTTATCTAACAAGTTAATATCCCCTGGGTTGTAGTCAGTGAGTTTTATCTAACAAGTTAATATCCCCTGGGTTGTAGTTAGTGAGTTTTATCTAACCAAGTTAATATCCCCTGGGTTGTAGTCAGTGAGTTTTATCTAACAAGTTTTAATATCCCCTGAGTTTTATTTATCTAACAAGTTAATATCCCCTGGGTTGTAGTCAGTGAGTTTTATCTAACAAGTTAATATCCCCTGGGTTGTAGTTTGTGAGTTTTATCTAACAAGTTAATATCCCCTGGGTTGTAGTTTGTGAGTTTTATCTAACAAGTTAATATCCCCTGGGTTGTAGTTTGTGAGTTTTATCTAACAAGTTAATATCCCCTGGGTTGTAGTTTGTGAGTTTTATCTAACAAGTTAATATCCCCTGGGTTGTAGTTTGTGAGTTTTATCTAACAAGTTAACATCCCCTGGGTTGTAGTTAGTGAGTTTTATCTAACAAGTTAATATCCCTGGGTTGTAGTTTGTGAGTTTTATCTAACAAGTTAATATCCCCTGGGTTGTAGTTAGTGAGTTTTATCTAACCAGTTAAGTTTTATCTAACAAGTTAATATCCCCTGGGTTGTAGTTTGTGAGTTTTATCTAACAAGTTAATATCCCCTGGGTTGTAGTTAGTGAGTTTTATCTAACCAGTTAATATCCCTTGGGTTGTAGTTAGTGAGTTTTATCTAACAGTTAATATCCCTTGGGTTGTAGTTAGTGAGTTTTATCTAACCAGTTAATATCCCCTGGGTTGTAGTTAGTGAGTTTTATCTAACAAGTTAATATCCCCTGGGTTGTAGTTTGTGAGTTTTATATAACAAGTTAATATCCCTGTCTTGTAGTTAGTGAGTTTTATCTAACCAGTTAACATCTCCTGGGTTGTAGTTAGTGAGTTTTATCTAACCAGTTAATATCCCCTGGGTTGTAGTTAGTGAGTTTTATCTAACCAGTTAATATCCCCTGGGTTGTAGTTAGTGAGTTTTATATAACAAGTTAATATCCCCTGGGTTGTAGTTAGTAAGTTTTAGGTAAACAGACATTATTCACTCACTCACAGTGAGTTGTGTGGTTATATCCTATCAATATCCCCTGGTTGTTTAGTAGTTAGTTTAATATCCCCTGGAGTTAAGTTTACAGCTAGTTAATCCCCTGGCTTTTAGTTAGTTGTTGTTTGTCCATCACAGGTGATGAGTACCATTCTTTCTTTCATCTGGCATGAAACTATACCTGACTGTCTATAGCCTGGAGGTGACTTATGTGCCCAACACGGTCCCAGAAGGATCTAGAACGATGAGGGCAGGGAACAGTGTCTGCAAATAAAGGGCTTGTTATACGGGTCTTTCTTTTTTGTCTTTAATGTTCAGCTGCCCTTTTCTAGACATTTCAGAAGTCTCTCTGCCTCTTTGGACAGAAATTCCCCTATAATCCCGTCTTGTGCTGCAGCCTCCCAAGTTAATGAGTTTTACCTAAACAGTTAACACACACTGGTCTCTAGTCCATCAGAACTATATTCCATCAGATACTGTGAACTATGTTCCATCAGATACTGTGAACTATGTTCCATCAGATACTGTGAACTATGTTCCATCAGATACTGTGAACTATGTTCCATCAGTTACTGTGAACTATGTTCCATCAGATACTGTGTACTATCTTTCATCACATACTGTAAACTATGTTCCGTCACATACTGTGAACTATGTTCTATCAGATACTGTGAGCTATGTTCTATCAGAGCTATCTTTCATGTAAACTATGTTCCGTCACATACTGTGAACTATGTTCCATCAGATACTGTGAACTATGTTCTATCAGATACTGGGAACTGTGTTCTATCAGATACTGTGAACTATGTTCCATCAGATACTGTGAACTATGTTCTATCAGATACTGTGAACTAGGTTCCATCAAATATTGTGAACTGTGGCCAGCAATAAATTGTGCAATCTGTTGTTTGTGTCTTCCTTGTTTACATGTTCAACAGAGAAACATTGCTTTGATGTACTTAGTTCTACTTCATTAAACAGATAGTGAAATTACGGGTTTGTAATTTTGTGATTGCAGTAACATAAGGCTCAGAAACTTGGAGCGCAACTAAAAGAGATGAAGCCTTATTACATACGACAAATCTTTGGACCTATCAAAGATGCAAACAGTGGTGTATGTAGAGTGAGAAACAACAATGGAATAATCTGTTTGAATCACCACTGATTGGGACATATTGAAAGAATGTCAGATGACAGAAAAGTAAAAACTATATACGCCAGGGGAGATGAATGGTCGTAGACCACGAGGCAGACCAAGAAGATGGAGAGATAATATCCAGACAGACCTGCAAACACTTGGTGTCATTAACAGGAAAGAGATGGCCAACCATGGAGGCGAATGATATCTGCAGCAATAAACCTCAAGCGCTCGGAATGCTGAAGAACAAGGCCAACCAGAGAGGTGAGTGGAGGTGGGTGATGTCTGCAGCAATGAACCTCAAGGGCTCAGAATGATGAAGAAGAAGAAGATGTAACATGAGAAAGTAGTAGTCTTAGAAAAGAATTCAGTGTTTTTGTTGTTGTTGTTGTTGATGTTGTTGATGTGTTGTGATTATTGTTGTTGATGTTGATGTCAGTGTTTTCCTTTCAAATTCAGAGTATATCTGCTTGTAACTAGCAGTCAGCACAAACATAAGCCAGATCTGTAAAATTGGTATGCATGCAACACTTAAGTTCTGGAACTAGACCAAACTCCTATAGTGGATGAACAGCCAGAACTTTGTGCATGAAGAAGAAGTTGATGTTGTTAATGCTAATAGTGTCTTTTCTCTGGAGTATGCCAAAGTGGAAATTATCAGGCATACAGATTGGCTGGCTATGCACAACTTGGTAGAATATTGATGGGCAGACACAGTTAAGGCCTTTTAGGAGCATGTGTGCCCTTCAGAGAAGCAAATAAACACAGACTGGTGAGACTGATGCTGCAGGAAGGCAAGATGGGATTTGGCTGATACTCGATGCTCAGAGGAAAAGCAGGACGGACATATAATCAGACCTCTTCTAGTGCCACTGGTATTGGAACTCTGTGCTGGCTGCTGAATATGGGGATGGAGCACTTATGGAATGCCCGGTGTGTGATATCAGTGTTGTTGGTTGAGAGTATAGTAGCCATATAAGTGATGTTGAATGCAAATATAGTGCAAATAAAACAAGAGTTGAGTTGAGTTAAGAATTCACATCACGGCACTTGGGGCATTCCATGTGTGCTCCGTCCTCATCTTAAGCAGCCAGCGTAGAGTTCCAGTAATGATGGTACTGGTCACAATCTGGTTATATGTCCGTCTTGCCTTTCCTTTGAGTGTAGTGAGCTGGCTATACCCTCTGGTTACTCCTAGATGCCTCATTCTCTCCAGGCCAAAATAATCTTGTTTCTCTACTGATTCTGTTGCTTGCTCCCAAAGGGCCTTGACCACATTTGCCTTGTCATGTATCAGTTCACCACCCAGTGTTGCAGATAAAGCCAATCTGTCTGACTGTTCATTACCCACCACGCCGGCATTGCTTGAAGAAAAGATCCAAAGTATGCTCACTACCCGTGAACTTCCCAGTGAAGTTGAATACAAATATAGTGCTGTTGTTAACAAGAGGGAGAAAGAAAGGGGTTGGGCTTGAGAATTTAAGGCTGCCCAGTGCAGTCTCCAGACACTGCAGGTGAGGATTTTTTAAAATTTGTGCACCCAACAGAACAAAATCTCAATCGTGTACCATGGATGAAATCAGTGTCTCCTACACTAACCACTTGGCCAGGTGCTTCGGATGCTTTTTTTGGTTCTTTATTAATATCCTACCTCAGATGATGTCGCAGGACAGTCCACC